ACTGTCTGTGGGTTAGACCCCGGGGAGCCTCCCTCGGGTCTCCAGGGCTCCTGGCTGCCGCACTGTTTGGCCCCTAAAGCTCCCCGACGCCACCTGTACCCGGTGGCCTTCCTCCTGGTGACCTCCCACCTGCTGGTCCTGTGGCTCATCCTCAGCCTCGTCATACTGCTCGCCAAATACCAGTAACACCAGCACAGACTGGGAGCACTGGGCACGGAGAAACCGATGTCTCAGAAGAACCTCGGAGATCTTAAACCTTCAGTCTCATTACAACAATAACAAAAGATAAAAGTTTGATGACGTCGCGAAGCAGCGCGGGATCATGGGAGTTGTTGTTTTTATTGTTAAACAATTATAGATGTTAAAAATCTATCTGACGTTAATTAGGATGAAATTATGTTCACAGACGAGCTTCTAGAGGAGAGTAAGAAATGTACATTTACCAGAATAAGATGACAGATTGAACGTTGTAGGAAACATTTGGGATAATGTAAGAACACAATATAGAACATAAGTGTAGAGTTTAAACACAGTTTAATGAGGAAATCTTACATATTAAAGCTTTAAGTGGACATAAATCAGCTGTTTCAGACTCAGATTTCATCAATAATTTAATAAAAAAGCCTCAAATGAAGATTTAAAGTTGCTTATTCGGCTGCGTTGGAGTTAAAAAGAAGAATTTGACCCAATTCTGTTTCTGGGAAATGTTTATTTATTCATTATTTTAATGTTTTTATTGAATTTATTGTGTTTGTGTGTTTTTTTTCTTCTGTTTCTCGAACCAATCAGAATGTTTTAATTGTTGTGAAGGAGCTGTTTGTGTTATCAGACATCTGTACCTCACTGTGTGTGTGTGTGTGTGTGTGTGTGTGTGTGTGTGTGTGTGTGTGTGTGTGTGTGTGTGCGTGTGTGCGTGTGTGTGTGTGTGTAGAGACGGCTGCAGGATGGAGAACGTGCAGAAGAACGTCGGCAGCAGGAAGTTCGCCTTCAGCGGCGTTCAGCTCCTCACTTTCCCCAAACTGTACCGACCTCCCGACGGCAGCTTCGGTTGATACGTTTTATTTTGTAGTTTTTTCTGTACAGAATTGATTTTATTTTTTAATTATTTTTTTGTTTTTATCATGTAAAGTGTTTGTTGTTGTTGTTGTTGTTATTATTATTATTATTATTATTATGTGTCTGCAGGTGTTTGATTCACAAACATGTTTCTGCAATAAATGAATTCTTGATTTATTTTTTTTCACATTAATTAAAACTTATAATAATAATAATGTTTATTGATGCAGCGCTGCATTCAACCTGTAGGGGGCTCCACACACATTCACACAGTTGGTCCAAACTCTCAGAAACAAACAGTATTTCTGGTTTGTGATTAAAATCTGATTAAATACACACTTTAAAAGAAAATGCACCATCAAAATGTAATATAAACTTATATTTTATTGGTATTTAAAGTAGATTCTGACACATTCTTCCTCTACAACACCTCAAAACTGAAGTCAGGATAATATACAAGCTGATTTAACAGTTATTGACAACATTTTATAACGTTTTAGCAACTAAAACTGATAAAAAACAAGTTAAAATCTCTCTCAGCACCCAAAGACGTCTGAGTGAGTCGTTTTATTTCAGAAAATGTGTATTTGTTTTTAAAAATGACCAAGTACTCAAGAACTTTTAGTTTTATACTACTTTTACTCCACACTGCATTTTTTAAGTAAATGATTAAATTATGATGCATTTTTATAGTTTAATAAATTACTCAGCAGCATGTAAAGTGATTAAAATCAGCCCCAACAGATACAACAACATTAAAGTGATAAATAATGTTGAGACTTTTGTGCTTTAAGAGTCTAAATGAAGATTTTTACATTTAATAAAATGTCTAAATACTTCTATAATAATATATAATAACAGATAAATACTGTAACACTGTGCTAGTTCTATGTTTGTTTGTTTTTACGTTTATATTTGGGCAAAAACAACCAAAAGGTGCAATAAAAGTTTTAATGACATTAGAGCTTTTATTTTGGTTCGTACAGCAGCTGTTTCTCTTCCGGTCCGCGGGGTGGCTGCGCACGCACGTATGCGTCAAGCCAGAATCGGAAGAAATTCATAACGGAAACAAAAACGTGTTGTCCTTCAAAATAAAAGAGAACGGTCTACTTATTGTCTGATTTTCCCAACAAGGCGTCTAAAATAACAAACATGAAGTAACGTACAAACAGTTAAGTGTTAATATTATGACATGGTGAGTAATTAACGCTGCGATTTAGCAAAATAAGCGTTTTACCAGCAATACCGCGGCTTTTATTTTGGATTAAACAACCGGAACTGTCGCGTCCTAGCCCGCGCTAGCTTCCCGCCACTCCGCTCAGGCCCAAAACAATGCAGCTTAGCTTCTGAGCCGCGTCCAGCTAGCTTTAAATATCCAACAAACTATTAACATTAATTATTAACTGTTAACTATTAATTATTAACTATTAACTATTAACGAGCAGTGGAATCAAACTGCTTTACGGTTTTATGTCGGCGGTGTTCTCGGTGTGTTGTTGTTCCTCGGCTGCACCTTAAAGCACTGACTGAAACCCGCCACCTTTAACTCATTATTTAATAATAATAGAGTTTAACTCATTATTTAAGAACAATAGAGTTTAATTCATTATTTAAGAACAATAGAGAGGTAGTTTATGTTTTTGTTTTCTTTGTGTTTATGTTTTTAATCCGCGGAGCCTCCAGGCCGCTAGGTGGCGCTGGTTGACCAACCGCCATTTATAAACCGAAGAAGAAGAAGAATGGCGACGGTTAACGGGCTGCTCGGTAGCCGGAGAGCGGCGGTTGGGAGCGGCTGAAAAACACCGAAAAACACCGAAAAAACACCGAAAAACGGGTTAAATTAAAGAAACCGCGGGTGAGAACGGAGTTTGTGTCGATATTAAAACTAAAGCCGGACCTCCTGCTCGCTCCGCTGGTAGCATGGAGGAGTAGAGAGCCGCTGTTAGACGCTGCCGGGCTCCTCCGGGCCGACTGACCGACGGACGGCTCGCTCTCGCCGGGGAGGGCTCACCATGGCCCCGGGCTCTCTGGTGGCGGCCTGCCGCAGCCTGGCTCTCTCGACGTGGCTGCTCTCCTTCTGCTTCGTCCACCTGCTGTGTCTGGACTTCACCGTGGCCGAGCGGGAGGAGTGGTACACCGCCTTCGTCAACATCACCTACGTGGACCCGGCCACCTCGGAGCTCCGCACGGAGAAGACGGAGTGCGGGCGGTACGGGGAGCACTCCCCGAAGCGGGACGCGAAGGGGGTGGTGGTGCTGCCCGCCGCGCCGCACGACCGCCAGGCCTGCGACCCCAACTCCCGGTTCGCGTTGCCCGCTCAGCCCGGGGCCTGGATAGCGCTGATAGCCCGGGGAAACTGCACCTACCGGGAGAAGATCCGCCACGCTGCCGCACACAACGCGTCCGCGGTGGTCATCTTCAACGTGGGGTCGGCCAACGCCAACGACACCATCACCATGCCCCATCCAGGTACCGGTCGTATAGAGTGCGCAGTGTAACGGAACCACCGGGTTTAATGGCAGTGGTACTGACCCAGATATACACTGGACACTGTGGAACAACAATACTGACAGTGTTATCAACAATAATAGCATTTAATTAATAATTACAGTGAGAAAATGTGTCAAAATAATGAGAAACTTTATCAAAATAATGAGTTAATATGTAAAAAAATATTATTTAATATCTGAAAATAATAACAATATTTCAAAATTATGATTAAATGTGTCAAAATAATGACAAACTTTATCAAAATAATGGTTCAATATTTAAAAATAATCAGAAATGTTCTTAATATTTTGAGATATTAAGTAATTATTAGAAACAGTCTCATTATAATCACTTTGGTGGAAATTAGTTTCCATTAAAAACAGTATTTAAATTATATGTCTATAAATATTTATATGGAGATAATTAAGGTGCTGTTATTGATAAATTGAGTCAAACTCACATTACTGATGTTTATTCTCCTGTAGGGCTTTATCAATTAATCTAATTATTATTGAAATAAATAATAATAATAATATATTCTGACAAATCTTCTCCAGAATGAAACTGGTGACACAAAAATCATCAAATCAGGAATCAATTCTGATTTTAATGAGCAATTAATGATTATTTTCTATCGTCTGAAACTGGATTTCTTTGCGTTTTCGACCTTTTAGGGGAAACTGTGATTCACTTTCTTCACTATTTTCTGACCTTTTTGTCGACTGTTGCTGGTTGAACTGGATCCCAGTGTGTCTGAACTGGATCCCAGTGTGTCTGAACTGGATCCCAGTGTGTGTTTGTCTGAACTGGATCCCAGTGTGTGTGTCTGTCTGAACTGGATCCCAGTGTGTCTGTCTGTCTGAACTGGATCCCAGTGTGTCTGTCTGTCTGAACTGGATCCCAGTGTGTCTGTCTGTCTGAACTGGATCCCAGTGTGTGTCTGTCTGAACTGGATCCCAGTGTGTGTCTGTCTGAACTGGATCCCAGTCTGTCTGTCTGAACTGGATCCCAGTCTGTCTGTCTGAACTGGATCCCAGTGTGTCTGTCTGAACTGGATCCCAGTGTGTCTGTCTGAACTGGATCCCAGTCTGTCTGTCTGAACTGGATCCCAGTCTGTCTGTCTGAACTGGATCCCAGTGTGTGTCTGTCTGAACTGGATCCCAGTGTGTGTCTGTCTGAACTGGATCCCAGTGTGTCTGAACTGGTGCCGGTGGACAAACTCAACATGATGTGATTGAGTGTGTCATTATATAACAGACTGTAGCAGCGGAGGACGGAGCTCCTCCAGTTCTTGTTTTTATTCAGTGAACTGACTCTCAGCTGTTCCTCCTCCAGGGATCTCCCCCCTCCTCCCTCCCCCCTCCTCCCTCCTCCCTCCCTCCTCCCTCCCTCCCTCCCTCACCCCTCTGAGAGTTTCTCTTTAAATCAACTTTCTCAGGATGTTTTTAGTGTCAAGGTCGTCGTCCGACGGGAGCTGGACTCCATCTGAACTTACTAGGAATCTAGGAACACTGATTCTGAATGATTAAATACTGTTTTCACCATCAGTGAATCTGCTGCTTGTTTTCTTCTTTAAGTGTCTTTTTTTTTTAGGATTGTTTGGGTCTAAAACGACTGATTTCACAGCAGCTTTTCTAAAATAATGTCAATGTTTAAGTTAAGTTTAGTATTTCTGAATCAGGAGAAAGTGAAAGTTGCAAAAAATGGTTAAGATTTGTTGTTAGATTTGTATAATTGATTAAAAGATTGAACCCAACTTGTTTGTTTTCCAGAGAGAGTTTGGGCGTTTTGGTTCTGATCCAGAAGTTGTTTTTATTGATCCTGATTCTGAATGATTGAATAATGGTTGTGATACTTCCATCAGTTAATCTGCTGGTTATTTTTATTGTTTAATTGTTTATCCTTACAGATTTCGGGGGGTTTGTTTTTGGAGCCGTCTGATTTCACAGCAGCTTTTCTAAAAAAGTTCTGATGTTTTGTTTAGTTTTTACATGAGAAAGTGGAAATTACAAAAATAGTTTCATTTTCTTCGTATAATTCATAAAAACAGCCAGGAAGCTAACGCGCACCGTAACCGTGGCGATAAAGTGTTTGATCGCTGATTGGTCAAACTAAAGTGAAGTCATCGTGTTTTGTTTTTTAGCAGCTGATTTCGGGTCACGATTAAACTGCAAAAAAATAAAAGTCAAAGTATGTTTGAGAAGTTTTTTTATATAATGAAGAGCCAGAACTGTTTGTTGTTGTTGTTGTTGTTGTTGTTGTTGTTGTTGTAGTAAACAATAGTGATGTCCGATAAGTTCAGTAACAACAGATGTTTTCTAACTACATTTCAATATTAAATCTAAAGAGAACGGTGGAGATAAGTTCAGACCAGAATCTGTGCTGGGAGAGGAGTTATTGTTCCTCCTCTTCATCACGCAGCAACAACAACAACAACAATAACAACAACAACAACAAGCTCGTTTTCTAACGTTACAGCGACGACACGCAGACACAGATCGTCTGCGATTGGTCTGTTTGTGTCGGCAGAGGAACGGGAAGTGTAGTGACGAACCTTCACTGACTTCTGCTGGGTGGCTGCCTCATCTTCATCTTCATCATCATCATCTTCATCATCAGCCTGCAGCCACCTCAGTGTGTGTTTGTTGTCTTTATGAGGACCGTTAGAGATTCTTATGGTGATAAAAGAGGAGTTATCACCTCTCCAGAGGACTGTTTGACGGTTCAAACTTCACTGTGTGTGTGTGTGTGTGTGTGTGTGTGTGTGTGTGTGTGTGTGTGTGTGTGTGTGTGTGTTTTTTGGAGAGAGAGACATTGATCCCAGGGGTGTATTTTTAGGCAGAGACTAATTGATTTTGTTGCTGTTTGTGTGTTTGAGGGGGTTGCTGTGAGTTCAGTGTCGGCCTCGGGGGAATTTATTCAACTTGTGGCCGAGCTACACACACACACACACACACACACACAGTAAAAGTTGTTGAATTGTATTTAAGCTGTGTGACTCTGCAAAACGAATATGAACACACGTTTACTGTCACTGTACACGTTCAACGAGGTTCAGAGCTGCTAAACAGGAAACGAGGAATCTTAAAATATAAAGTGAAGACAGTTCAGTGTGTGTGTGTGTGTGTGTGTGTGTGTGTGTGTGTGTGTGTGAACCACAGCGTCGGTCCGTGTGCTTTATCTGTGAGTTTAAAAATGACATTAGTCAGTTTGTGATGTGCAAACATATCAGCAGACCTCAGATAATGGCAGCTATCAGTCGTCGAGTTTCAACACACTTTAGATGATTCAACGTTAGTCTCAGATGCTCGTAAAGCTGCACAATACGGTAAAAACATCATATTGTGAGTCAGAATTATGTTGGAAATTATAATTTTTACATCACAAATTGACAAACGATTAAAATCATCATAATGTGAACATTTTTGGGCATTAATACTTAATTTTAATGCTGTTTTTCACACATTTTACCTTCATACAAACATCACATCTCTTGTGATTTGCATATTTTTATTAGTTGTGCAGCCCTTAATAACTAATATTAATTAACTGTAGCAGAGTTTAGAGTGTTTCTATCAGAGTTGCAGCGAAGTGGAAGTTGAAGGTGTCATAAAAATGGAAACAACTCAACTACAGACGCCTCAAATTTGTACTAAATGTACTTCGAGGCGGACAGGCGAGACCTACTTAGGCGGTGGAAGATGGATCTAGTTCCAGACTGATTTTTGGGGTCATTAGGAGGCTTCATGTTCGTCCCACTTACTGTGCAAGCTGCCCCTTCAGCCCGACTCATTCCTCTTCTTCCTCAACATTTCTGTTGCACTTTTATGGCTGAAATTACCACATTTTTAATGTTAGATATTGTTAGAAACGAGGCCTTTTCACTGCGGTAGCTGCGGTTGTGTCTCACTGTGGAAACAAACCTTCCTCTGGAGTGTTTGTTTTACTCTCGGGGGTTATGTGAGGGTGTGTTAGTCAGGCCTCAGTCACAAGGATAACCTCAGACTACCGAATTGCCCAAATTAAATAAAAAAAACAACCCGGAAGCAGCAGACACAGACGTGTTCTTCCTCACACCTGCAGGGCTGAAGGAGGAGGAAGAGGAGGAGGGGGGGGTTGTGTTCACACGTCTTCACAGATACAGACCCCAGTGGTTCGCGTGTTGACGTGTTTCTCAGAGCGAGCAGCTGTTGGAGGTCGGCGTTGTGGTTTTGCTCGTAGCTGCTCTGTTGAAGTGTCCTCGAGCAGCACTGAATCATTACCAGCTGCACGCTCTGACCTTTGACCCAGGGCTCTGCGACAAGTCGAACTTTACTTTTTAATTAGGATTCTGGCTTCTTATGAGAACAAGATACGCTCGAGGTTTTTATTCTATTTAAAGCTTTAAGGGAAATGATCGTGATTTTTGCCACAATCGAGCGCTTAATTACCACGTGCAACTTACTTCTTCTTTTCCTCCTTCTGCTTTCATCTTCCTCCTCCAAACTCTTCATTCATCACTTTCAGTAACTCTTTCTCTCCAGAAATCACATTTAATATCTCAGACACAGACCAGAGTGAATAAACTCTGCTGCTGTAGCTCCAAACAAACAGACACAAACAAACACAAACAAACACAAACAGACACAAACAGACACAAACATACTCAAATATACTCAAATATACACAAATATACTCAAATATACACAAACCTGAACTAAAATATACACAAACATACACAAACCTGAACTTAAACCGGAGTTTAGCTCCTTTATCCGTCTGTTTAACAGGTTATAAAAGAGATTTACGTGAAACGCGTTTACACATAAAATCAATCGTAGAAAGAGCCGATGTCGCCAACTTTGCAACTTCCTCACTGGATTTACTGGATTCAGTAACTTTATTTCTACCGACTCCTTCAGGAAAAGGAGAGAAATGTGTTAAAATATATTAAATTGTGATTTTTATTTCCATGCATGCAGCACCGGGGTCTCTCCCTCTCCTCTTGGGCCGTGTGCAGACGGTCAGTTGGTTTTATGTTGGGAACATTTGAGCTTCTTTCTTCCTCTTCCTCTTCCTCTCCAGATCTCTTTTAGATTTAAAGTGTTCCTGAAGGTAGCTAGGAAGGAAGTTGCGATAACTAACGCGAATTCAACCAATTCCTGTGAATTCTGCAACTTTATTGAATCACTGCAACTTTTATGTAAATTTATTCAATCATTACAATCCGCTGTGTAAAACTACGAGCAAATTTATTCTCACTGGAACAAGTTGTATTTGTTTTTAAAGGTTTGTTCAAAAAAATTACAGCAAATTTAGCAATTTTTTACTTTCTCTCCAAGTTTCGTGCAAAAACAACAACAACAACAAATGTCTAAAAACATCATAATGTTGTCAGGAAATAAGGAATTTGTCTGCAACAATCTCCAAAAGAAGCCAAATAGTTTGATCTTGTAAATGTTGAAACAGTCTGTTTGATGTTCTCCATCCTTTCTGTAGATAAAGAAATAAACTTTTACTTGAAGATTGAGGTTGTAGAGCAGCTTTGTGGGTACGAGGTGTCCTCAGGTTGGAGGTTTAGAGGATCTTTCTGTCGGATGTTTAAACGTTTGTTCCCGTTTTATCGAAGCTTTTTCTCCTTAAAGTATAATTTATTAAACTTGATGAATCTAGAGACTGATTATCCGGCGTGCTCCTCTCCGCAGGTACAGGCGAGGTGGTCGCCATCATGATCCCGGAGCCGAAAGGCCGCGAGGTCGCGTCCCTGCTGGAGCGCAACGTGACGGTCACCATGACGATCACCATCGGGACGAGGAACCTGCAGAAGTACGTCAGCAGGACGTCGGTGGTGTTCGTGTCCATCTCTTTCATCGTGCTGATGATCATCTCGCTCGCCTGGCTCGTCTTCTACTACATCCAGAGGTTCAGATACGCCAACGCACGAGATCGGAACCAGGTACTGACAACAAACTGAGTCAACATGAGCTTTCAAACAGTGAAAATACAGGAATTAATTTATAATCAGTCGATGCCGGGGAACGTTTTTACTCCTTGACCTTATTCTGGAAACATGTCGTCCTTGTTTTAACTGTAATGGTGACGGAAGACGGCGCTTTCGGACTTTTCTTGGCGTGTTTGTGCGTCTGAGATTGAGGACAGTCGCACACACAGATCTGAACGAGTCTAAATTTACACAAATATTTAAATCTTCACCAGTGGAAACTGATTAAATTTTAACTTCTAGAGCAGTCGTCTTCACTAGTTTCACCGTGAGAATCAGGACACAATCGACAGCAGAGAGTTAATCAGATGTTACCGTTATACATTCTGCTTATGGGCCCGGTTCTCTTTGATCCTACACGGTTTCTTTGTGTTTTATGTCTGAGTCTGAACACAGTGTAGGAAAGGAGTATAATTATAGTAGTTGTTGTAATAGTGAGTTTTTCCGTGAAATGAGGTCATGCTTTGGACCATTTCTTCTTCTCTTCGATGACTCTTTGTTTCCAGCAGCACAATTAATACAAATGTGACCAAAGGTGCAAAATCCAAATCACAGAAGCTGCAGTTTTAAAAGGTTTACATGTCTGATAAACAACATTATATTAAAGTATTGTTGTGAAGGTTTACAGATCTTTTTCTCCAGATGTAAGAAAACATTTCTGTTTGGTACAAACCTAAAAAAATGATGAAAAATGAAAATTGTGTTGCAAAACCAAAAATTCCCACTAGTTGTGAATCATATCACAATTTTAATCTGTCACAATAATCAGAATATGATGTGTTTTACCACATTGTGGAGAATGTCAAAGTCCTGCATTCAAAACCTTTAAAAGTACAAAAGTATTATGTGTTTGTATTAATATTACAGCTGTATTAATGTGTATGTTTCATTTTACTGCTGTAGATGTTTAATGATGAGCTCATTTGAACTACTTTATACACTGTCGGGTAGTTTAATTTACAGCAATGAATCATATTCTATAAGATCATTATGTTTGGAGCATCACTGTCGATGTAACTGTGAGACAATATTACAATTTAATGTCACAATTATTCTACAATTCACAATATTAACACAGGAATCATCAAAATATTACTTTTTCTGAGCTACATGAGATCTTTTCAGTGCACAGGAAGGGTAATAAAAGACAAATGTAGAGGAGTATAAGAACATGGCTGAGGAATCCCTTTTGTTTCAGAGATCAAATAACTGGAGAAAGACTGTAACTGGTTACTTAAGAGCATCAAACACACTGAATGTTCCCAAAAACAGCTGATTAGAAACAGATTCTGTACAGAGAAAAAGAGAAGAAATGACCATAAAAGCAGCTTGTGAAATACAAATGGGAGTGTTTTTAATCCCAACTGGTTGCACAAGTCCTAATGAATCACTGCTGCTTCCACAGACAGGAACCTGTAATTACTGACGGCATTCAGGGAGTCACATTTATCTGAGATCAGCTGTCAGGTGACGACGGTTAACGTGGAGCTGGAAACAAACTCCTCCACAGGTGGTTTTATTTCCCAGACATCTGCCGCTGCTGCCTCACCCACAATCCTCTCTGTCATCTCCTCCCTCCCTCCCTCCCTCCCTCCCTCCCTCTGGTTCTCTCTCGTCTCCCCTCAGCGTCGTCTGGGCGACGCGGCGAAGAAGGCCATCAGCAAGCTGCAGGTCCGCACCATCAGGAAGGGCGACCAGGAGACGGAGGCCGACTTCGACAACTGTGCCGTCTGCATCGAGGGCTACAAGGCCAACGACGTGGTCCGCATACTGCCCTGCAGGTAAACACATCCTGGAAAACACCTGGAGACTCACACACTAGTTATCCAGCCTTGGAAAAACACCTGGAAATTTATTTTAAAATGAGCAAATATCCTGTAAATAATGTGTAGTTCCTGAGTTTAGTTCCTCTGATTGCACTGATTTCTAAAACACACTCGTTTTGTTGTCATGTGAAGGAAACTGTTCAACTCGGGACAAACTGTTTTTTATTTGAGCTTTGTGCAGAAAAAAAGAGAGTAAACAGTAACGGGATTGTTTTGTTTTGTACGAGATTAGGAAATGAGATCTAAAATAAAAACATGTTTTCCCAGAATTCTTCTCGTTTAACTTCACAAAGTCAAAGCAGCTGGAAGCTCGAATCCTCCTGCAGCGGTTTTCCGATGTTTGTCCGTTCGAGTGCAGATTAACTTTTGGAGTTTTTCTTCTTCAGACATTTATTCCATAAGAGCTGCGTGGATCCGTGGCTGCTGGATCACCGCACGTGTCCAATGTGCAAGATGAACATCCTCAAAGCCCTGGGCATCGCCGTGAGTCTCACAGGAGTCATGGGAGAGGGAGAGGGGAGGGGTTGTTTTTAACTTGTGTTTGCACAGGAGAGGGGAGATGTGCCAACTGAGGGACGTATTAATAGTTTATTAAAAACCTGATTGAGCATCAAAATAATACTGAAAAATCATTTAATTAGATGTTTTTGGTGTTTTGATGTTATTTGAAGCCCAATTAGAGCAAAGATGCCACATAAAAGTAGCCCAATATTAAATTGTTTTTAAGGAAGTGTAACTCAAAACCCTGATTAAAATAATAAAAGTTGTCAATAACATTACAGGAAACGTTTATCTAACGTGTGTCCATCCCATAATGTCCCATAACTCTGGCAGAGGTCAGATTAAAGCCGTTTCCTCTCTCTCTTCCAGCTGAATGCGGATTGCCTGGACGACCTGCCGCTGGACTACGACCTCGCTCTGGGTGGCGTGGGCGGGGTCGGCGTGGGCGGGGTGGGCGGAGTCGGGGCCCTGGCGCTGGAGGCCGTGGTGTCCGGGGCGTCCAGCGACGGCACGCTGAGCGAGGGCGGCTCCTCCGTGGTGCTGGACCCCGGCGTGCGGCGGGTGGGACTCCCGCAGGACTACCAGGACCCCGACACCCTCAGAGACAGCCCTGTGACGGCCACCACGGACACACACACAGGTAACACACACACACACACACACACACACACACACACACACACACACACACTGAGTGGCGTTATACTGCCACCCGGTGGTGTTTCTGGTGTATGACACCTCCATCATGGTGCTGCAGTTAAAGTCTCAATAACAAAACATTGTTCTTTCTTTATGTGTTTATATGTTTTTGAAGAAGAATCCATTAAAACCTCTTAATTAAAGATGAGAAATCACTTTATTTGTTTTATTTAAATTATTTATTTTTACCTGCTGGAACAGAAACCGGTTTCAGATTCAACTTCTAACTACAAACTAAACTAAAGATTATGTTATTAATAGTTTACTGTTGATCTTCAGGTGAGCTACAGCCGATGGCGAGCAGCGCCTCGGTGGCATCCCTCGTCATCACCGTGGAAACGGGTCTCTCGGACGAGGAGGGGTCCATGGAGCAGTCTCAGCTGGGGGACAAGTCCTGAGAGGAGCCGAACAGAACCAAACCAGATCCCCCCCCACCCACCCCCCCACAAAAAATGACTCCGTCAGGTTCAGCGGACCTGAAGCTCTGGAGAAAGACCTGAAGGCACTCACGACCCAGGACCTGATTCTAGGTCTAAAACCCAGAACCAGCAGCATTGTTGTCTGTGATATAAAACAAAACCGACTCGTCTAAAAGCAGGACTTTTGTGTGTGTGTGTGTGTGTGTGTGTGTGTGTGTGTGTGTGTGTGTTGGTTCTTGGTTCCTGACCTGGTTCTGTTTTAGTCTCCTTGGACCGGTTGGACCTAGGACCCCGAACCCTGGACTAGAACATGGGTGTTTATCCAGTGTGTGTTTAACCAGGAGATATAACTCCGTCTGTCGTTGCCTCTGTTTGACGCTGTTTCTAGGAACAGAACCTCCAACTCATTTCAGATATTGTGGAACTGGACGGGATTCGAACAGAGCCCACGTTTATCCTCCGATAAACACTCAATCTCGTGTGGAAACAGGGTAGAACTGGAGAAAGGCGGCCGCCAAATGAGCCAATCTGGATGGATGAATGCATTAAAACTACCTGTATGTGTCTGAGAGCGACATCCAGGACCAGGACCAGGACCAGGACCCGTCTTCTGACCTTCTGCTGGAATATTCTGTCACCTGGGGTTTTCCTGATAAAGAGGCACAACAACTTTAAACCTCTGGGACGCCGTATCAGGGCTCGTCCTGGTCTGGAAGGTTAGGTTTAGGTTTTTTTTTAGATTTTGTTTCTTGATGCGGTGACTGACTTTTATTTTGAAAGGACACACCAGCTACTCTGGGCAGAGGATTCGGTTTTTTGTTGTTTTATTTTGCTAAAAACGGTGGCAGTATTAGAGCTACAGTTTGACTGCAGTATTGATTAGCAACTACACATTGTTTTATTTCCTCTTTCTGCCTGTCTGTAGGGTTCTAGGCTCCTTTTTAATCTTCACGATACTCCGACAGTATTTTGGTTTGGAGGCTTCCTGAGGCTCCAAACAAACCAGGGTTCCTATGTGAGAACGTGCTGTTGACTGTTAGCCGGGCTGCGCAGAGTATTATGAGGTAGGAGAAAGGTTGACGAAATGTAGGATTTCACTACAAGAGTTTAAATAATAATAATAAAAGTGTGACACTAGTGAGAAGATCTTGGGTCTTTAGGAGTAGTCAGGGGGAGAAATGCCACAATGATGGAGAGTTTTCAGCTGCACCAACCACCTGTTCTCCGCTTTTTAATAGTTTGTAAGCAATTAAACTCGTTAACCGCCCGGCAGACACCGCACGATCCTGTTTTGTTAACTTTGGGATGTTCACGCTGATTTTAAATTGAAATTCAGACGACTAGACGAGTAAGAAAACACTCAAAATGAATCAAAATTGAGCAAAATTTATGTTAAATGTCGCAAAACAATGCTGCCTTACGTTATTAATCGTAAATATAATTAATTATACCCCGAGAGAGATCACAGCGTCCGGCGTTCGGGCATTAAATGACGTCATCTTGGGTTTGCCGAGTGTGGCTACCGTAAGCAGCTCTCTGATAATGTTGGTTTAACTCGTGCAGCGTCCGCCTGGCGTCAGATAGACAGACTTTCCTCATCAGTCTTCCATCGTGGCCGTCTCTCCTGAGCCCGAACATTCGGTATAACGGCGTGTAGGAACCCTGCCTTTAGTGTTGCCTTGTTATGTTGTTTCACCGTCCGTCCGTCCGTCTGCCTGACCACCACGTGTCCGATTCCCCCCCGTGCTGCCTTTTAAAAATAAAACAAAAAACAGACTTTGAACCCCGACAATCAAGCATCAGATCTTTAACGTAGCTAGTCAGGGGATCTCTTCTCTGAAACGTTAGCAAACGTTAGTTCAGAACCCGCATGTGTTGTCCGCCGCAGACGGCGTGTTAGCTGCCATTTTTAAATTAACGCCACCAAAACAAACTGTGAAAGGCGTAAAAAAAAAAAGGTTTACACAGTCGTAGAAACACATTAAGAGCAAAAGCTTTCCCCGCTTTACTGAGTGTAAATATATGAAACGCGTATTCCACAGATTGACGTTTTTTTTTGCCAAACTGGTGCGCGGACTGCGAGGTCGCGTCGCGGTTTGTCGCCGGGCAACCGCGAGCTTCCTGAAACTTAAGAGAGATTAAAAAAAAAAAAAGATTGTCATCTATTTTGATACCAGAGGAGACGTTTATTTTTGTAACAGAGACACCCAGCAGCAAAGACTGACCCCCCCCCTCGGTCTGGTGATCCTCAATGTGATTGAGTATTGATCGGGCAGATTCAAGTGTTGATTATTTGTGTAATTGTACATACGGAACGCAAATTCATGATATGAATTTAAACTATTGGAAGTTTGTTTGTAAACATTCAGGATCCGATAGTCGATGTAGCCGGAGGAAAACTGAACCTGAGAGAATTTAACTGCCGTAAGCCCCGCCCCTTTTTGGCCCTGCTCCAATAACGGTTGAGCGAGCCTCGAACAATTTCCTCCTGTCCTGTGCTTGGATATGCTACGTGCTAGGCTAGTCTATGTTTAAAAGAGTGTGTAGAGTACACATTGTACAGTAAGCGTCGTAGTTCACTAGTGTTTTGCTCTGTAGCAAAATGCTGCTCGTCTTTTCAACATAGACTAGCCTAGCACATAGCATATCTAAGGCAAAAGAGAGCAAAAAGGGGGCGGGGCTTAGGACGGGTCGACTGCCCGAGTGTAGACTGGAAAACCAACACTGTTTATTCCCGCCTCTCTTTCGATGCTAATGTCTTAAACTTAATTCAAACAGACTTCCTGAAACTGAATTCAGGACATAAAACAATAAATTTAAGTGAAGATCTTTTAACAGCCTTTTTATGCACATATTGTTTTTCAAATTAAAGCAACTTCCAGGACCTGATGAGTCTTTAAATTCAGGCAAAGGAAACCGCCTTCAAAATAAAACCCTGGGATGAAAAGTATTTGTGTTTCCAGTCCTTCCAACGAGTTCATTTCCTCTCAGATTCAGGAAGACTTTAAAGTATTTTTAAGTTTCTTCCTACCTTTAATCTGTCGTCTGTCCTCGGTTTAACATCCGAGGACGAGTTCACTCTCAGTTATCAGCTATATAACAAACACTAGTTAATTTAAACACCTGTAACAGTGGCGCAGAGCGTGTTTGCTGTAATATACGAACGGTGGGTTTGTATCGCCTCGTCTTGGCCAATTTTAAGCGAATAATGTTTTTAATTAAAGTCACTTACTGTTGTGTTTATAAGCTTTATTTTCAAGGGATTTAATTACCATGTTATCTTCACATTTGCACTGTTTCATTCTTTTGTTTTTTAATGCGACTGTGATTCTGCTGCCAACGTAGTGAAAGTGAACTCAACCCTGCTCCTTCCTGTCGAGACTGAGGCTGCTGTGGCATGTTGGTCCCACCTTTAAATATCCGGATCAAACCTCAAAAAATGTTTCATTACAAACCCGAAATGTCAAAAACGGTCAAATACAGAAAGCTGGCGTTAAAAATGTCACGTTTTTAATTTGTGTACAAACTCTTTGATCAAATAGTTTCTGATTCCAGTCTTTGTTTTTTTTATTTTTTAGGCTAATTTCTGTTTGGCTGTTTTTGTTTTGACAAAATTTTACATTTGAGAAGTCTATTTTATTTTGTCAGTTATATTTTTCAAAGATGTAACTACCTAATGATTGAAGTAGAGTAGCTATTGAGCTATGACTGCCCTTAATAACTTTAACTCGTTTTAATGAGCTAGTTAACATAAATACACTAATTAGAAAGATTTACGGATCTGTTCAGTAATTTTTAGGGATTTTTACGTGTGAATGGGGAAAAGTATTTTAGTGCCAACACAATAATTTATTGATTAAAGCTAGTAAACTTCAGATTCAGTATGTTTGAGCACTAAAATAACATTTATCCAATTCACACCTAAAGATGAACGCAGATATTCTCTCTGTTTACGAGGCAGAAAATTATTTGTGACACTAAACGTGAACAGATTCAAAGAAAATAACAACAAGATCTTATTTTATAACTACGACTGTTATAATTATGAGTAAATCAAAAATGTACGATTGGAGACGAGATAATTTTTATGAAGTTAGTCTTGATAGAAATAATAGATTTTATAAATACAAAATCAAAAGCTTTTCAATAAGCTAATGAGTTGATATGGGACCCTCGTGTCACTGCCAGTAATGACGTCTGATTGGTTCTTTGTTTTCGCCGAATGCTGTTTTCATTGGTTGCTTTGCCTCTTTTGTTGATGCACTTTAATTCTGTTTCTCTGGAAGGTTCTGATAAATCTCTCCCTTTACGCTCGCGATCGCTCTCCACTGACATTTAAATTTCTCTCCGACTTTTCTTTCCACTGTATTTTACTTGGATTCTTTCCCGCTTCGGTTGTTGTTTGTTTTCCACTTTATTCTTTTCCTTTCTCCTAACTCAGGATGTGACTATGTATATGTGATCAAGTTTTTCCTGATTTCATTCAATTTTAGTTTAATTTCTGTTTGGCTGCTTTTGTTTTGACGAAATTTTACATTTGAGAAGTTTAGTTTCTTTTGTTAGTTATATTTTTTTAAGTAAAAGAAAGTATTGCTTTGGTATTGGTACCAAAACCCGCAAATCTGCGAAATGCTATATATGTGTGTGTGTGTGTGTGTGTGTGTGTCACATCTTAAATTAGCTAATGTTAGCAAAATATAATGATTTATGTAAATTAGCCTTTTGCTAACATTAGTTTTCCGATGTAACTGCCTAGCTAACGATTGATGTAGATTAGGTAGCTATTGTTTTGCTTTGCCAACCAGCTATTTGTGTTTATTCTCTCTTTTCTTGCCTTCCTGTATGATTTCTATGTCGGAAATGTGGGAGATTGTTTTGTGTGATGTTGACAACGATCTGATAGACCTTAAACTACGAATTGTACAAATTTGTAGACTGACTGCCATATATTTTGCCATATATTGTAATTTGTGTTGTAGTTTATGAGGCAGGTGAATCCTGAGCCACGTACTCCCACTGGGATTATACATTATAATCTTTACGTCGCCTGCGTGATGGTGGATCTAAGTACATTTCAGTCGTTTTGATAGTGTTAAATTAGCATTAAATCACAGCTATAGAAGAGGTCATCGTCTGCAAAGAAACGAAAGCAAAAGAACAAAACAGACGTTTCAGATCCTTCCAGAGAGACGATCCGATGCGTTGTAGCCGCGTTAACCCCTCTGCTACCAAGACAACAGGGTGTGAAATGGTGTCGTGTTCGTTTCTACAATATTAATTGTTTTTCAGAGCGTCTGTTTGTGTGGTTGTCCTGTGCACGCAAACACATAAATACCTACGTACACACGTGTAAATACAAGGCGGCGTGACGCCATGTTGTTTCTGTGTTTCAGTTGTTGCACGTGTTCTGATTCAGGACAGAATTTAAATAAAATTTTATTGCAAGTTTTTGTTTTTATTCCAGTCTGACGTTTGTGTCTCATTTTGTTTGTTTTTCCAAATTAAATATGTGTGTGTATATATAACTAATTAACAGTTTACGTCTTGTATATCTTCTCTTGTGTGTTTCTTGTGTTTTTATTCCTGATAACAAACATATCCTTTTATTTTTTTACAAACACAATGACTGATTTCTCATTAATGCTCGTTTTGTCTTTAAATCATTTAAGAAGGATTTTAAAGAGGTTTAGGTCAAGCGTCCAGCAGTAAGAGTATGTAGATACAGTAAAGAGACATCTAAAGTTTAAGGAATGAACAAGAACTGATATATTGCAAGCAGCAATATATATAATATATAAAATATTATATATGGATATAGATTCAATTTTTTACAATACTATGTAAGTAAAATTAAACCACCACAGTCTGTTACTTTAAGCCCAGTTTCTACCAAAAAGTCATAATTATGACTTATTATCTAAGTAATAACAACAACATGATCATATTGGGGGATTTATTTTTTTCTCATAATTACAAGATTTTCCAAAAGCGGCACAAATTCTTTCTTTGTCTCGTGAGGTCGTCCAGATTTTAAAACTTTATTACTAGTATAAGCAACGATACTTAATACCTCTTTGAATACAATGGGGAAAAAAGGAAAAGTAACTAGCACTTTTTCTTATTATTCTAAAGCAAACATAAACCTATAATATCACTAATGATAAAATAAAGACACAAAAAGGACACGCAGATAAATAACGGTGAACTTTATGAACACATTTGTCTAATGACACTGCGGGAAAGGCGCTAACGCTACACAACGTATGTAAACAATGGGTACATCCAAGAATGTCTTTATTGAACACAGACAAACAGAGAAATTCATCCAAAATTCATCTTTATCATCTATTGAGAAGTAAGAAGTAAGCTGGAGGAAGCAGCAGTCAACAAACTGGTGCGGTTCTGGCTAGCTCATCAACGTATATAAAGATGGACGACATGGCAGCTCTCCAAAAAAAACTCACAATACACGTCAAATAAATGTTTCCCAAAAGATGGTTTCTGGCATTTTAGGTAGTTTTTATCGCACGGATGTTTGTTCAGGTGTTGATTTTTTTATAAGTTTGGTTTTAATTAGTTATTTGAAGTTATAAAACGGGGATTTCACTTCGATAGCGCGGCTCCATCCCGCGATACTGCGCAGACTCTGGCTCCGAATTAAAGATTAAAGATATTTTGGCTTAATTCTTGTTGGTAGGAGGAAGTGTAGACCACCCTGAATGTGTTGATGAGCTAGCTGTTAGCTAATAATAGGAAAAGTCTGAGAAGTTGGTTTATTAAGTTAAAAATTGTGGCTGATATTTTTAACCTACTGTCATAGATTTCTGTAAATCTCAAAATTATTTTAATTATTTAAATAATTTTAACTTAGTTTCCTAAACTATTGACATACAGTCATAGTTTTTGGCTTTATTTATTGTGTAATTATGACTCAGAATCTCATAATTTTGCCATACAATAAATATTTTTTAAAGAAATTGACTCCAATATAAAGTGTTTCCATCACCAAATGCAAAGACAGGAAGTCAAAACACAATAATGTTTGGAGGTAAATGCCTTAATAATGGAGCAGAAACAATAAAACAGCTGCTTCAGTCTGAGGTTGAAACTATAAAAGCAACTTCTGATGAAGGATGAAGATGGAAAATAAAAATGGAGGTCTGTGCTGGTCTTCAGGAACTTGTGGAAGCAAAGCAGTTCGCTCTGAATCTGGAGCTCGTTTACTCGTCTGAAAGACAAGTTATCAGTGTTTCTCATTTAATTTAGTGGTGAAAGTAAATTCAATGTGACTGCTGTACTTTCTACTTTAAACATGAAAAAATACAAATAAAACACATGAAGAACCTTTAAAGTTAAAATGTAAAATGTAGTAAAATACCCAACAGTACACTCTAAAACCAGATAAGTTCATTTAACTCAAAAATATTGTTGAAACTGATTACATCAAGATTTTTAAGTATAAAACACTACATTTCGTAAGTTAAATGAACATTTTTGATTAAGCAGATTTTTTGTCATTTTAAGTGAGAATGACTAAATTATACAGTAAAAACAAAATACCAAGTAAAAAGTAATTAATCAGGAATGTTTCACTTAAAATTACTAAAAACCTAAAAATTGAGTTTCTGTTACTTAATAATTTAGATGTGATCAGTTTCAACAACTCTTTAGTTAATCTTGTTTTACGGTGTATAAAACGTTTGAGCTTTAACGATAAGTCGAGTAATTAATTAGTTGATTAATCAACTATTATTATACATTTCAGGGTTTCAGCTTTTTCTCGTCTTTAATGACAGTAAACTGAATAATTTAGAGCTTCAGGCTGCCGGTCGCACATTTAAAGGCGTCGCTGAGCTTTATAATAATTCACTATAACATATAATTAATTAATTAATTAATCAAGAACGCAGATTAAGTGATAATAATCATTGCAGCCTGATATAAACAGTTTAAAACATTAATGCAGAGTAATAATCTAGTCATTGTAAATTATGCTGTTCACACTCACAGGGTTCATTTATCTGCTTTAAGTACTTTCACTTTTCATACTTTAATAACATTTTCCTGATAATAAATCTTACCTGTAGACCTCATCGTGTGAACGAGTTGGAGCTGAGGAGACAACAGACAACATTTTTAATCAGTTTCAGGTATATTTCCTTTTAAAAATGCAGAAAAGGTCTAAAGAAGCAAACCGTTGTGGCTCCTTTTGTCAGTTATTTAAATATTTTACCTCCTGGTTTCTCTTCTGGCTTCAGAGAACTTGTGTCTCAGCAGGAAAGCGGCCACAGCTTCAGCCACCTTTAGACACACACAGACACAAAACAGTGGTCTTACTATTTATTAAAACTGAATATATTTAAATACTGCAAGGTGTAACTGCTCACTGTGTGTAATTTAACACACTAAAAGTATTTGTTGTTGATACTTTATATTTTAATGATAACTTTTGTAACAACCTTTGAATGAGGTAGTGCTTCCCTGACTTAATTATGGAAACCCATTTTTGCCAATGTGATTAAAAAAAATATCCTGTAAGTCATTAAAATGAGAAACCTTTTCAAAATAATGAATTGATATCTCAAATTAATGTCTTCCTTATAGTGACTGGATTCCTTTTTTGTTTCATCACATTGGCACTGATGGGCTTCCGTACTTTATAACCACATTAGTGGATGTCAGTGTCAGTTTGGTCCAGACTTAAATTCACTTGTAGTTTTGAGTCGAATATCTCAACATTTATTGCAGGAATTAAAATAAAATTTGGTCCAAACATTCATGGGTTTACTTTTTATTTAATTTAAATTGTGTATTGATAATGTGAACCTGAAAATTAACTGTTAACTAATGTTATCAGATACATGTGTATATATAATATATATATTATATATATAACTACTTCAGTGCAGTTTGAACAGTTTTCTTACTTTGTCTGGTCTGTCTTCTTGCACTGCGTGGCCACAGGGGGGCAGCACCTGCATCATGAATTTACCTGGAGACAAACAGCAAGACAGGTACACACTCTGAGCTGCCTGTCTGTCTCTCTCACACACATATCTTTGATGCTATTTTACCACACACACACATTCACACACACACACACACACACACACACACACACACACACCACACACACACACACACACAATTCTGGGCTGTCACTTCCAGCGTGGTTGTTGACTGACAGGACCATCTGTCTCTGGAGAGGAACTGCTGCCTCGAGGTGTGTGTATCTTTGTGTGTGTGTGTGTGTGTGTGTGTGTGTGTGTCTCTGAAGACATCCTTCACCTTTTCCCTCACAGTTAGTGTAGAAAACACAGCGTGAAAAGAATGTCAACAATTCCCCAAAATCACAGCGATTCTCTACCATCATTTTTGTTTCTCCGACACTACATTTCCCATCAGCCCTTGTTAACCTCCACTTTCTGTCTCCCTCCTCTTTGTAGAGGGTCAACATGTCAGAGGTGACACAGCAGGTTTATTCTCAATAATAAGATTATCCTTTTTACCTCCGCTCACTATCTTACCATCACATTTAGTTGTTAACTAATCACTGATGTATGAGCTCTACGATCATTAACCCGACTATGCAGCAGGTTGATATTTAAAATTTTAAGTGTTTTTATTAAAACGTTTGTTGTATTTTGATAGTGCTGTTTGTTTTTTTAAATAAATCTATTTATATATAAATACATATATATTTTAGAGCCTTACCACCAGTAGTACCATACTTTAAGAAACAGTGCTCTGGACGAACAGTGCTCTAGAAGAACAGTGCTCCCTGGTAGTGCTGCCAAAAAGTGAACAAACTAATAGTTTGGACTGATGGTTCAACTCATACTGGATCTTCACTGGTGATATTGTTGCACTCTGAGTGGCTTTTATATCAAACTAACTGCCAGTGGTAAAAAAGGTATCAATACTGAGTCAAACTCGTACAGCTGCTGATACCAGCTCTTATACATGCTCGCTGTACACCAGTGAAGGGCCAGCAGTTACTTTCAGTGTAATGAATCAATAAGGTTGGTCAGAAACTTGTTTACTGAATCGTTCAGCACTCGACCAGAGCTCCGAGGATTTATTTGGATAAAGACAGTTTGCATCTCAAGCACTAACCTATTGCTATCAAGAGCTACGCTACTGAACGCCGAGACAACATAACACAAACTGTACATTCTCTACAGTGCAGTTAAAGTGAATTTCTTTCCAATCCCAATTTACAACCAATCCCCTACACCAGGAATCAGCAACCTTTACTATCAAAAGAGACGTTTTAAGCCAGCAGCGTCCATGCAGTATTAAATACTTTCCCTCAGGGACCGGTAGCCACCGCTGTTGAGGTTTGGTAAAATATATAAGAAAATACGCCAGGTCAGGACGTAACGTATGACGCAATGTTTTAGTTGATGAGATGTTAATGTTTAATTCAGCGTGTAATGGCTGTACAATGGTTGTAGGATTCCTTTGGATCTAAAGACCTGCGAAGATTTGACAAATTAACTGGGTGATGTATCAAAAAGCTGTTTTTACATACGACAACAACAACGTTTTGTGCAACTACTTATTGAACCAAAACTGAAGGATTACCATGGCTACCACTGCATGTGTTGAATCAGCGTCTCACCTTGCATCTGGCCGATAGTCAGATCTCTGTCCAGCCGGTTGATTCCTGGAAACAGAAGCAGCGTCAGGTGACAGTGTGAAATTATTTACTATTATTTATTTACAGTATCAGGAACCATTTTACACCAGGGGTTTACCGTATTAGGACTTACAAATGTTTTTAAAGACCTACCGGACAACAGCAGGAGTTTGGGCAGGTTGCAAGCCAGGAAGAGGTTAGATGTTCCTCTAAACCAGCCGTCCCAATACTTTTCTGACTTCGACAGGTCTATACGCCACTTGTACACACTCTGGCAGGTATACACACAGATACACAGCGTGGTTGGTTAATAATCTTTGTTAATTTACAAGTAATAGCAGGAAGACATTAAGACATTCATGCTGGAATTAAAAGAGTTAAATTGAGTTATACTGGATACCTGTGTTAGGGGGGGGGGGGGAAAAAAAGGGAAAAACAAAAAAAAAAAAAAATTTTTAAAAAATTTTAAAAAATAAATTTTTTTTTTTTTTTGGTTTTTTTTTGGGTTTTGTTTTTAATAAAAAAAAAAAAAAAAAAAAAAAAATTAATAAAATTTTTTTTTTGTTTTTTTTTTTTTTTTTTATTTAAAAATAAAAAAAAAAAAAAAAAAAAAAAAAAATAAATGTTTAGAAATTAATTTACTTGAAATGAATGTAACCAATGATGTCCTTGCGTTATTACACGTTTCTGTATGGGTTTTTGTGTGTGAGATTAAAAAAGAAAGAGTGGCGCCATAATGAATGTAAGTCAATGGATTGGTGTCACAACACATTCATTATGACATTTCGATAAAATAAGTGTTTTGGTAATGAATGTAATACATCACTGAAAGCATGAAACACACATTATAACACAAAAGATTGACGTTAATGGGTTAATGATAAAGGTGAAAGTAGGATACTTGGTAATGAGTGCAAGTCAATTAAATATTACTTAATAAAATATTACCATAAGTGTTTCTGTGCGGTCGTTTTCATACCTGGCCTTCGTTGAGGCTCACCTCTGAGGCAGCGTTTTCTTTGTCGTTGACGTAGCTCTGATCGTAGAACTCTTCGTTACGCTCAACGACAACGTCGGTCACTGGGGTGGCCTGCTCCACAGTGTCGGCCTCCTCCACCTCACACCTAATTTAATGTTTAACACAACATAGTTTACTCAGGTAGACGTAGAACAAAACAATTATCTGTGATTTACTTCCAAACTGGAAGACAGGATGATCAATATCCAACCTACCTTTTGATCTGACCAACCATCGAGACTCTGGCAGATTCCAGGTTCCGGATTTGCCCACTCTTGACACTGAACGAAGAACAAGGAGTCTTCAGTTAATTCAACGTTATTCAATGCTGACTTCTTTGTGAGTGCAGCCAGTGTTTTAAGGTGCTGGTTGTGATTAAGATAGAGGTCAAGAAGTTTCTGAATCAAACTATAGAATAAGTCTGAGACAGATTTGTTGGGTACAAGTTGACAATGATACATTTTGTTATATTTTTCCCCCATTCTGTAAATTATCTTGTGGCAGCCTCTGACGTACTGGTTTCAAACTGACCCCATTTACACTTTGTCACTTCCTGCCTCTAGGACATATCAAATAGGGGCAGATTGAAATCTGATTGCTCAAACAACCCTCGGCTGGTGAGATTCTAGCTAGAAGTTGAAAAGGTGTAATCTCTCTGAGCTTTACTCCTTCAAAGTATAATTATTTCTGGCAGTCTGTGGTGGGAATAACAACACACAAAGTCTGTCCTGTGATAACAGCAGCTAAAGATACTAAAATTAGCTGTTGTTCTACCAGTTGACTGAGACAGATAGAAAAGCATCTATTTGATTTATGAGATCCCTGATCAGTTTGACCATTGAATGATCTGTATAGGTGACGTAGCAGCTTTAGTAAGAGCTTGTGAAGCAATAAAACTCGTAGCTCGCTTGCTATGACTTAATTGTTGTACCTAAACGGCTAAATTTAAAGTTATTCTTCTTGACTCTTTGGCTGTTAGCAGTCAGGTGTTTTACCACCATCCTCTGGACTTGAGTAGTGCCGACCCTGATTTGCACGTAGTCAAGAAAACAAGGACGGATTGCGATCAGATTTGTAAACTGTAAATGAAAGTGCATCAGATTTCATCTGTATTTTGTTGGGACACTTGAAATAAGTGTAAATTGGGCCTTAAGGTGTAGTCATGTCACATAATCATCAATCAACTGATTATCTGGAGGAGGTGTTTTGTATTTTTTACTGTCAAATATTTAGTCTTGAAAAGGTTTTTATCACTGTTGTGAATAAATGAGGACTCTGGTTTCCGTCTTCATTGAAAGAAATTATGTCTTGCATGAGTTTGGGGCAGAAACCAACAATATAAAGGAATGAACGGATTAAAAGTCCACCAGTTTGCACGACAAACACAAAAACAGGAGGACAATGGCTGAAAGCAACCGAGATCTTCAGCCCGCTCCTCTGAAACAAAGGTAGTAAGAATAATGAATCCACAAGTGATCTGGACATTCTGGAGAAACTGATGAAACAACTCTTGTTAAAGAGGAATCTTGGAAGAACAAACAAACAAAGCGGAATAGTAAGCGTTTTAGACTACAAGGAATGCTCACCTCCACTCTATTGCGTGGTCCATGGACTTGAAGGACTTGGGTCTTCCCTTCAGGAAGTTCTGTATGATGTGGAGCGCCTCCATCGCACTGCCTGCAGGAAGGAAAGAAGACGAGTTAAGTATTTGTGAACGAAAGAAGTGTATGCCTCTACCACTCACGCTCTTACACCCTTACCTTCCACCACGTCTATTGCCACCAGGCCCACGGTGGTCGGTAGCAGCATGTTGCTGGCTGTATGCACTGCGATCGCCCCACCGACGCCGTGGCCAATCAGGATGAGAGGGGGAGGAGTCTCACCATAGCAGGATCGAATCACATTGGCTACATCGCTGAGGAGGGTGGTGGAGCAGGATTTGTAGCATCATTAGTCGTAGTAGAACAGTAATCTTTCTGTTGCTTGTTAATTTGAGGTAAAAGGATTACTGAAAGCTTGAAGTTTGTGAGTTTGAACTGTTACCTGGACATAGTTTGAGTTGAGAAGTCATCTGATTGGCGAACCAGAGTCCCACCTTAACAGAGAACAAATTCTCACAATAATGCAACTAAAAGTGGTCCTCACTGATAGAGAAACAGCTAAAAATAAGCATAAAAACTAGACACTGAAAGATAAAACTGTATTTAATGTTATTTACAGAAATTTGATTTACAGAAAACAACTGAATTAAAGTTCCTCCAAGAAGTTGCAATGGTAACAATCACGTAAGTTCAGCCAGTTCCTGTGAATTCTTGCAATTATGTCCAATAACTGCAACTTTTACCCAAATTTGACCAATCACTGTAAAGATTTACATGAACAGATTTCAACAACAACAAAAAAAACCACTGATTCCAGCTCAACAGCCCAACTCATGTGGATAAACGTTATACTCGAGAGATGACAGAAAGCTTTTATTCTTTATATTGCCTCACCGTGACCCCTGAGGTCCATGGCGAGTACTCTACAGTTCACTCTGCTGGCGATGGCTGTCTGGAACACAGAAAAACACCACGACAATCCGCTGATATTCAGGATGTAGACGCCATCAATCCGTTGACCAGTCAGTCATTCAATCAACCAGCTGACTGTACAGATACTCACGGTGAAGACGGCCCAGGACAGTGCGGAGTGGCCTCCCCCGTGCAGCAGAACCAGCAGCGGTCCATCGCTTCCGGCTTTATAAATCCTGAACACGTCCCTGCTGTCGGCCGGCCCCACGTTCACGTCCTCCATCTGGTCGAAATACTCCCGCCAGGACACCGGCGAGTAGTCAGGTTTACCGCTGACCTCACTGGTCGACATGTAGACACACAGAAAAACGCACACTTTATACTACCCACACAAACTATATCGTTTGTAAGTAGTGGAGCTGCTAAGGAATCATTGAAGCTAAAACGCGTCTATGGGTAGTATAAATGTATGAGTAACTGAATGAGGAACTGAATGAGGAACTGCTAGCAGATGTTGCATTGTGTATGGCAAGTAGATCCCCAATGGTGTGTGCTAATCAACAGGAAGCAAGCAAAACTTTGAAGAAATGCATAGTGACCGCCCTCTATTGGTTGAAACCGGCTATTGCAATTGAATTTTGTCCACTGGAGCTTTGAGAGTCACTAGAAGCACATTCACGGCTGTTTGTAAAAGTTTCTGTGAAATACTTGTGTTGTAAGGTTAGCTAAGCTAGCAGCTCAGAGCTAACCAGCAATGAGTAGCTGCTGTCAGACTCTCACAGAGACCGCCCTCTACTGGTTGAAACCCAGCTATTGCAGTTTAATTTAGCTGTTGGCTGATTTGAAGGCACCCTGCTTATATAAGACCGTCTCGACTCTGCAGACGGTGGCCTAGTGACACTGGAGAGTTAGCCTCTTTCAGCTGCTAGCTTAGCTAACGTTACTAAAGTACCACACAGAAACTTTTACTAAAGGCTATGACTGTGCTTCCAGTGACTCTCAAAGCTCCAGCGGACTCTGCAGCAGAGTAGGGCGGGTCATGGCTTCACCGTAGTAGGATAGGTAGCTAGCAGAATTTATGAGTTTAGTTACACTTGAAATAGCATTTGTTCTAGAAACAGGAGCACATTTGGTAAAGTTACAGCTTCTAGACATTTTTACGACAAGCAAGTAGCTCAAAATGACTCCGGCGACGGCAATATGTGTTTTGAATCAAAGTGCTAAGCTAACTGTGTTTGTTTTGTTTGGAAGAAGTCAATTGAATTTGTTTTTGGTTCCTTTTGAGAAAGAAAAACTCACAAAATTAAACTAAGCATTGACACCTTGTCCTACAAAAAACCTGAAAAAACGTTTCCAATTAAGACAAGGTAGATAAATGGAAGCAGTTTTAAGCCTTTAATTGGAAACTTGAACATTAATTCACCTTTTATTTAAGCCATTAGTCAGTAACTTAAATCCTGTGTTTGTATGTGAGTGCACAGATTCTGTCAATAATGGTGTGAACATCAGATAAAAAGGTGACTTACTGCTCTGTATCGAAGTTCTCCTCCCACATGCTGCGTCTCTGCAGGAAGACGTCCAAATAACAGCTGCTTATCTTCAATCTGCTGCGTATATATTTATATATATTTATATATCTGTGTGTGTGTGTGTCAGCAGGTTATCCCTTAATAAGCACAACACAGCATAAAGAGTTGCTCCTCTTCCTGTCTGCCGACGTCCATCGACTAAATAACAACTGCTGGTGTTAAGTGCAAACACACTATAGGACAATACCTAGTCAGCTGTTGTTGTCAGGTAGCATCGCTGCCGCAGCGTCCGATTGGCTGAGGCAAACAAATGGAGTCAAGAGTCAAAACTTTTTCTTTCTTAAATGTGTCTGTGTCTATAGAGGCTTCGGTTACGTCATTAATCAGCCTCAGTTAGTGACATGTCGGCAGAGCTTTTTCTGGTAGTTGATGGTGCGTCATGTCGATAACGGCCAATAAAGACACAGAAATCAAACTGGAAAAACAATTTAAAAACAGCACAAAATTATTCTCTAATTCATTATGATGAGAAACTCTCAAAATAATGACTAACCTTGAGATACCACTTTTTCATTATAATGACTTACAGAAGGTCCCCCCCCCCATATTGGCAGAAATGGGCTTCCATACTTGTTGCTGTGATTCATTCTCTGGCTTTTATCTTTGATTATTATGGATACATTATGTCTCCATCATTAATGTTATTATTTACACCTGTGCTTTTTGTGCTGTAGCAAACTATAAAACAAAATACTAGTTAATTGAAACATGATTGAAACTAGCCAAAAAAAAAATAATTAAATAAAGTGTTAAGTGTTAGATGTTCCAGTAAAACCACAAACATCCATTCATTTTACATAATCAATTCTCAAAATACGCTTTTATATTAAAATAATTCACTTCTTGACATGTTTTCTACTTATAGAAATATCTCAGCATTTAATTATTACGCTCTGAGCTGCAGCTGGAAGTGTTGACATTTTTTACACGTAAACTCAAAAAATGACCTCTTCTTCATCTATGAATATATTTATGCTTCTTATTGTTTTATTTGGTTGTTTTTATGCCTGTTTTCTTAAATCATATTTACATTTCAGTATAGCTTTTATTAAACACTATTATTACACATCTACTTGTCGGCTGTATTTTATTGTAATTTTTATTACTGTATTGTATTTTTAAATCTCCTCAAAATTCATCCAAATCTCTTGTTTTACACAAACTTCCTGCAGTTTCTGAGTTCACTGTTTGGGTTCATTGTACAGTTTTTAATATAATAATAAATATCCATAAAATATGTAACTAAGTCAGTTTAATAAATGATAGAAAAGGGTTCCAGAAAGTTTATTTTATTATTCCGGCTTTTACACAAAAGAGGAAAAGTTTCAGGTTTTAACCATTACAACACCACGTTTGTTTTATAATGTGTATATTTAACGAGAGAAAGTCACACACACACACACACACACACACACACACACACACACACACACACACACACACACACACACACACCCTCAGGTGGCAGTGACAGACAGTTATAGTATCCAGGTAACCAGCAGTGTGCTGTTGTGAATAAATGAGACTAAATGTCATTCAGAAAAAAACAGACCTCTGTGTTACAGTTCAGTACATAATGAGAGTGTGTGTGTGACAATAAACACTTAACAATAAAATAATGTATTTATTGATTTATATGTAAATCAGTTGGCAGAAGAATAAAAATATCTTCAGTTTCTACATAAAAAAATACAATTTCTGTTTTAGGCAAGAATAAAGCATTAAACCAGCGTTAGTAATTTTTTTATATAAACACACAAAACTGATTTTTTAACAGTAAAAATCGATTTTTTAAGTATTTTGTGTTTCTAGTGTGGTCAAGCTTCAAAGCTGTTGGATACTACATTTCCCACAATGCAAAGTCTTTCCAGGGGTGTTAAGAGTACTACAGGGAGCTTTTAATACCACCAAAGAGAAGATTAGATATTTCTATATAGTTATTTTAAATGTCGGCCACTAGGTTGGATTCCCCTTGAAATCAATTAAACAAGGCGGTGGAAACAATACCGCCTCTCTCCACAGGGGGTGCCAGAATCAACACAAAATGGAAGTTATTGCTTTAAGTACAAATACAAGAGTGTAAAAATAATCCACTATAAAAGTGAATTCATCCATGAATCCATCATATAACAACAAAATGTACTTAAAGTATTAAAAGTTAAAGCGAAAGTTAAATGTGAATTATACATTATAATACATTTATTATTGTTTTATATTTTATATATTTCTGGTGCTTTTTGTCCTGTGTGAGCGAATTTGTTATTTATTAGTTCTCTATTATATGCAAAATTTAGTTTAGCTCATTATAAACTATTTAAATAATTAATCTATTTATTTTAAGCGGAAATTTGGATTCAGAACCAAAACTGCAGGTTCAGGCTTGCACACCATTTTTTTTTCAAGCTCTAAGGCTTGTAAGAAAACTTGAAAAATATACACAGTAGACCTTTATCTCAGCATTTGGTTCACTTCTGTGAAGAAAAGTAAATTGTCAAATAGAACAATGACCAAACGTCAGAGTCAGAAAAACATTGAATTAAAAAAAAGAAGCTCATTAAGTCTGTATGATTGTTAAAATGAATACAGTCCCCTAAACAAGAAATAAGCTGCTCAAAATATATACCCGAATCATTTGTTTTACACAAACTTGTTACTGAGTTCACTGTACAGTTGAACCTTCACTAAATGAAGCTTGGGTTTTCACTCAGGAGGTGTGTGCGCTCAGTGGGACTTTCAGTGGTGTTCAGAGCTCGCCGTACATTCTGCCAGAAGACTCCGGTGTGCTGACCGGCTTGTGGCCAGCTCAGATAGGTGCGCCTCTTCACCAGACTCCTCATGTTGTGGTACGGAGACAGCTGCCGGGCCGAGATCTCCTCCAGAAACAGCAGGATCAACACGTCCTTCTGCTCGTCGAACAGACGGAAGCTGCAGACACCGACACACCAGATTTAAGCTCCAGTCAGTTTGTGAACGAGTGAGATAACGGCATTAAGTGTACAAACCTGGCCATCTGAATCTCTCTGGAGCACCACTCGCTCTGCAGGTAGTGCCGGCTGATCACGCAGATGGTCTTCCTGCTGCCATAGATGGCGTCCGTAATGTTGTCTACGATGGGTTTACCTGTGAAAATAACAGCCTCTTTTAGACAATGATTTAAACAATGGTGGATAAACACTAAAATGTGTTTGTGAACAGATTTGAGAAGATAAATAGTCAACACAGTAACAGAATCTGGATTCATATCTGATCAGCACTGCCTAGTTTGACAGTTTGATCTGAGTTTGGTGCGTTGAGCTGGACAGACTCACTGAGAATGAGCTGTCAATCACAAGGTAGCCCCGCCCTAAAGCATACCCTGCTTTATGGTCTGTTTTACTCTAAATGGGACCATCATTTACTAAATGAACATCATGCTGTATGGAAGAAGACTGAAACTAGAGACTGAGACCATAAACTCATCAGGAAACTGTTTACTGAGCTCATAAATCAACTGAGAAGTCGGCTCATTTCTCAATGGACATCTTTCCTGCAGCCCATGTAGCTGCCCCCTGCTGGCCATTAGAAATAATGCAGGTTTAAGACACTTGAACGTTGGCTTCACAACCATCTGATTTTTTTGGGTTCATATCCTCTGAAGAAGCCCAGTCTTTTGTAACACAAATAGATGCAGCATGAGTTTTTTTGTAGACATCTGCCACACTGCAAAGTTATTCGATGAAACAAAGTGTGAACTGAGCACCCGCTTTCTGTCAGTAACACTGTGAAGTTCAGATTGGTCCTAAAGAGGATGTGAAAACTGATGCACGCCTCCTCGCTTGCTGCTGTTATTTTTATTCGACTGCAACATTTCTCTTCATCTGACCTTCATCAGATATACGGGCAGCATCACAACACTTTGCATATACACACACAGGAGCTGCATTTATCATCCAATCAGAGGACTATAGAGAGTAGTTTGAATTTAATTAAAGCTCATGTTCGCTTATTCTTTGTTTTAATTTTGCAGATGTAAGCGAGGCCGCGTGGGTATGTGTTAATGATGTGGTCAATAGGAAACTCTTTGGCTAAAGGGGATGTGAAACTCTTGTGAATGCAGCTTCTTTAAAAAGAGACATCACAGAGAAGAAGAAGACTGGCTTGTAGATTAGACAGTGAGATAGGAAACAGAGACAAAAAGAACAAAATGATGGTCATGACAAATTCAGAAAGAGTTTAAAGTAGGGGCGTCACAATGCTAGAATACCTTTATAAGTCCACAGTTCTCAGTAACACAAGTCGATACCACACTTCCTTCAGAGTTCATCATTCAGAAAGTCTATCTTTGGGAACAAAATCCAGTTTCACTTCAATAACTGCTTCTCCCTGGGCAGACAAAGGACTGCCCAGGGAGAAGAAGAAGACAGAAACAGAGGGGCTGTCAGCCGAGCTGCTGCTAATGTTAGCTCAGCTTGTTTCTCTGATAACTTAAGATCCAGACGTCCGATGACTAAAATCCTTCATCCGGTTCAAATCTAGAGTTAAAAAGCATCAAGATCTAAACAGGGGATGGTAAAAATGTGGCTTCAGACTGGATAAACAGTCAATGTATGACAGCTTCTGGCAGACAACCACAACGCTGACGCAGGCACAAAGGGGATATGACGCCATCGACAGGCGACCGGTGAAACGCAGCGTTACCTGAATAAAATGACAGATTTCTCTGAGTTTTAACATTGTTGGAAACATTTGTAACTACACAACTCAACTATATATAGAACATACACCTATCAGCCATAACATTATGACCACCTGGGCACCCTGCATCAATGAGCCTTGACCCTGTCTCCGGTTCTTTTCCTTCCTTGAACCACTTTTGATAGGTACTGACCTCTGCAGACCGGGAACACCCCACAAGAGCTGCAGTTTTGGAGATGCTTTGACCCAGTTGTCCATCACAATGTGGCCCTTGTCAAATCACTCAGATCCTCACGCTGCCCATTTCTCCTGCTTCTAAGACATCAACTTTGAGGAGAAAATGTTCACTTGCTGCCTGATATATCCCCCCACTGACAGGAGCACTGATAATCAGATAATCAGTGTCATTCACTTCACCTGTAAGTGCTCATAGTAAGTTTTGTGTTCATAGACATTTTATTGTGGAAATGTTACATATTTTAGCTTTAACAGCAAACTAACTAGCTAACTACTACTATTTTCCCGATACCCGCGGTACTGTAGAAAAATGGGTACCGTTGGGTTTTCAGACTTTTGGCATCGACATAATACTGAAGTATTGGTATTGTGCCATCCCTAGTTAAAAGACAAACAGATGTTTATACCTGGTTCGAAGTTTCTGTGGTGCAGACAGAGTCTCCAGCCTTGCTCCCCCTCCAGCACTGGAAGCATTTCTCTGTAGACCCAGGCCTCATCGTTAACATTGTAGGAGACAAAAGCATCGTAGAGGTGAGGAGTGCCCTTCCTTCGCCTCTTCTTATCGTAGAGGAAAGCCAAGAAGAGGTAGTAGGCATAAACTAGGTGCCACCTCAGGAAGTGGTACATGAAGGATGCAAGCAGGATAAGCAAGATCAGACAAGTGCTGGAAATGAAGCAGAGGAAGCTAGAGTCTATCCAGCAGGAGTGGATGTCAAAGTCCAGGAAGTTTTCTCCTTGTAGGCTCACAGGAAAGGCACAAGTATACTGGTGGCCATTAACAACCTGTGTCTGGTTGTTGCTCTGCACCCATTGGTTAAAGCCAGAATTAGAGCATTCGCATGTTAAAGGGTTGCCACTTAGGTCCAGATATGTCAAGGCATGGAGAGATTGGAAGACTGTCTCGTTGATGACCGACAACATATTCTCTGTGAGTTTTAGCCAGCTGAGCGCCGGCAGGTTGGCGCCAGCCAGGAAATCCAAAGATCTTAATTTATTGTTGGAGAGATCGAGTGCCCGCAGGTTTGGGATTGGCCAAAACAGTTCAGGGCTTAAATCTGACAGATCACTGTGGATTACCTGAAGACCCTTGAGTTGAGGAGTGTATTTAAATGTGTCCGGGTGCAATGACCTCGTGAAGAATTTCTCAGTCATTAAGTACTCTAAAGATTTCAGTCCCTTGAGCAGATCTGGTGAAATATCAGTATGATAGTTGTCGTAAACTTTGAGTACAAGCTTCCTCAAGTTAGGTAAATTTGAGAAAGGTGGTTCATCATTTTGTTGAGAACTCTTCTGGTTCCAGTTAAACGTAAAATGTAGAGTCAGATTTGCTAATTTTGGTAGTCCTCTGAAAATCTCTTCTCTATAATTATTAAGCGAAAGACTAAGAGTTTGGAGATTATCAAGTCCTTCTAAAGCCCCGTCATATAAATTGTAATATGCATCTGATTCTAAATCCAAAACACAGAGGGAAGACAGATTCATAAAGTCTCCTTGCATGAACTTTAAGTGAACATTATTGTGCAAATTCAAAGATTCTAGTTTCCGCAAATTAACCTTGAAGGTGTTGTCCAAAGTAAAAACAGCGTTTCCTGCAATATTAAGGATTTTCAAATTCTTCAGGTTTTGAAAAGCACATTCTTTAAGTTTTGAAATTTTATTATTTTCCAGATTAAGTTCTGTTAATCTTGTCAAATCCAAGAAGTCGTGACAGTCAACTTCACTGATTAAATTGAAGCTCAGATCCAAGATTTCCAATGTGGAGAGTCCACGGACTGCAAGTGGCAGTTTAGACAGTTCGTTTCTCTGCAATTCCAGACTCCTGAGCTTTGTCATTGATCTGAGTGAATGCTCAGACAGCTCAGACAATCTATTAATAGTTAAAGCGAGCTCAGTAAGCTGAGAACAAGACCATAGTAGGTTATCGTCTATGGCAACAATACTGCTACTCATTACCTCAAGACTTCTTAGAGAAGGGATTCGGCAGGCGATGTCTATGAGACCTTCATCTATCCACGTCTTCATAGAGTACAGCAAAAGTTTTTGTAATGAGTCAACTCTCTCCAGTACCGCTCTGTACGCCTCAAAGCTAATATAAGTTCCACCAAAGAACAAAGTAGTTAAGCTCCTTAGAAAGGTCTTGTTTGCTATATCCCACTCGATGTCGCTGCTACACTTGGTAAAGGATAGATCTTGCAAATGAGGAAAGACGTCTTTTGTAATGCTGAACTTTCTCAGTGGGTTCATATCAAGCTGCAGAGATTTGAGGTTTGAGACATTAAAAAGCATGTCATCGGACTGAAAGGAGGTGAGCTTGTTATACCCAAGGAACAAATCAGTTAAAGTTGGTATTTTTAAGATCGCAACAATGTCTGCAATTTGATGTAACTGGTTAGCGCACAGATTTACTGATCGTATGCTGTGCAAGGACTGGAAGGCCTTGGGGGAGATACTTGAGATACGGTTGGAATACAAAGCTAGTGTCTTTAATTTGGACAGTCCTTGAAACATGTTGTCTGTCAGGTTTGTGAGTTGATTGTCATTTATTAGAAAGTATCTTAACTCTACCAAGTCGACAAAAGCTCCATCATCAATGTGTGAAATCGAATTGTATTGAACTTGTAAGGAGATGAGCTTTGGTAAACATCTTAACTCTGTTCTGGTGATCTTTGAAAGGTGATTTGAGCTGAGATCTAGTGATACCGCATTTCTGGGAATGTCATCTGGAATAGTAGTGAGGTCTCGCTGTTGGCATGTAACCTGCTGATTATTTACATTTTCAGAGAAGAGAATGGTGCAGTTTTTCAGTGAAAAGGCCAGTACAGAATGAGGATGAAACAGGAACGACAGAAGTGAAGCAAGGAACAGAGGCCAACTTCCTGCAGCTCGCATGTTGAACTTTTGTTCACTTTCTTCAGTAACTCAGAGGTGGAGAATATTTTCACTGCACATCTGAGGAGGACGAAAAAAGATAATAAGAAACAAAACATTTCTCGGAATTTAGCGATGGCTCTAAAGTTTTGGTTGGTCAGAGATGAGGTTGATATTTGTTGTTTTGAGTGAAATATCTCAACACTATTTAGTCACAAAATACTTGTTTTGTGACTAAATACCTCGCAAAACCAATGACATTCTCTTTAGCTTCAGCTGCACTTTGTATTAAGCACTAATTTGCTAATTTTATCATACTAACATGCCAAGATGCTCAACATGGTGGTAAACAACATGCTACATAACATAAACAACAGAATGTTAGCATTGTCATTGTGACGTTAGCATTTGGCTTGAAGCTTCATGCCTCCAACAACAAGCTGCTTACTAACAGTGTCGTTAATAGAAAATCAATCCATTGTTTTCATCTTTGCCCAGAAGTTGCTAATTTTTGCAACATATGTACCTCATGTGAATAATTCCATATACTACTTAATACTTCTGCTTCACTGCATTTTGAAAGGAAATTTGGTAATTTTTTGCTTAAATCTGTGAACTAGTTTTTTACCACTTCATTGATTATTATTTTACATAAAATATTTTAAGTGATAATAGTTTCTAAATACACTGCATTGCTACATAATACTGTAAATAAATAAATAAATAAATAAATACACACTATTACAGCATTCATGTGGGACCATTTTCTAGCATAATGAGTATTCTAAGTTAATTTTACTGGTATGGTAACACTTCTACTTTAACTTCTCCATTTAATTGAGTATTTTTACCTTGCTTTATTTCATCTTTTACCTAAATAAATGATCTGAATACTCTTATAAACTTATTTTACTGAAGACCTTTACGTACCTTTAGGTCACATATGGAGCAATACTCTCCAATCCTCAAGTTCAGAAGCAAACTCTTTTCTTGTTGGTGGATGAAATCAGTCCTGACAGCAGGGAGGGAATAAGAAGAGAGTTACATTTGTGAGTGACATGGAAAGTTATTTTAACGTGACAATCTGAAAGTCATAATAATAATTGCACCGTCAGTATTTTTCAAAGTAAACATTTTGAATTTTGAATTATGTTTGATTACATACAGACGAACTTACCAACGTTTCTTCAGCCAAGTGTTATCAGTTTGAGACAGGCAGCATCTGATTCTCGCTAACATCAGTTCACACTTGTTGAGAAGTGAAAAGAGGAAGAGCCGTGTCTTTAATTTTAAACAGAAATAAAGGAACTACAAAACTGTGTCACTGACCTGAGGGCCTCTCTCTAATGTAAACGTTTTAGATGTCGAGGAAAAAAGTAATTTTCCATATTATATATAAGTTTTGAATTCTCTGTCCATTTTATGTTTTATATGAACTTAATAGGCTTCAGTGTTTTCTTATCATTATTCTATTAGCTCTTTTCTAATGCCGAGACTGAAGGCTCTGTGAATACAGCTTGTGTTCAGGTCTTTATCCTGTTTATATCTAAAATAATCTTTCTAAACCTTTAACAAAAACATTTATTTAGTTTTATTCACGGAAATGAATGAAATACTGAGCTATGGGCTATGGTTTATATATTTTTTTAATGTTTCCATACATCCCTTAAAATCAAGAAGGCCTTGCGACCCCCTGTGAAGCTTTGGTGCCCCCTAGTGGAGGTCCAGACACCCCAGTGTGGAAAAACAAGCTTCTGTGCCGTGGGCTTTTGTTTTTTGGATAACGGGATGTAGGTCAAATGGGCTTTTGGTTTTCAGACAACTAGGGTATTGGAACAATAAGAAGTCCTGAATCAGACACCCAAACACTGCACAGCGGTTTATAATACTATGAGACAAGTATAGTATTATAAACAGTTGTTTTAACAAAATCCTATTTATTATTATTATAAGACAAGCTGAAGGAGGGTTGAAGGAGACAGACTAAAGAAAAAAGAGAACAACAATTATTAATAGTTAATTAAAAGGGAGACAAACAGAAGGGGGAATATTGAGGAAGAAGAAAATCGAGGCAGAAAAGGGCAAAGAAGAGGAGGAGAGAAAAGATGATGATGATCGCTGGTCTCCTCCCTCCCTCTCTCCCCCCTTTTATTTATTCATAATGCCTCCCGTGGTAGAGCGCTGAGGAGGTACAAACGAGGGAGCAGCTGAAGCTTTGCTCTCGGCGGGCGGTTGTCAGCGGCATGATGGGATTTCCACCGTGGACAACGCCTCTGTCGACCGACGCCGGTGTCTGCGGACCCTGAACAGGTATGTAGATACAGAGATTGATTACATAGGTATAATATCATAGGGAGTTGTTTGATTTGTCTGATTTCTGGTATTAACCGTTAAGAAGTTACTTACTATTCTTATTATTACATTCACGTTAATTCTATGATATTAGCTTAGAGATATATAGTGTTTAATGGTATTTCAGCTGTTTAATTAATCACTAAAACATTCTTATTCCCACAGATAGAGTAAAAACATGTATTGCCAGGCTTAAGGAGTAATGGATTACATGTACCTGAGTTACATAATCAGGATACTGATGTAATCTATTATAGTTACATTTAGTAAAAATGGGGATTATTAAAAACAAAAGTCTGTCAGTTTCTTTAAAAATACACTGAGAAGAGGACTCATCTTTGAATGAAGGTTACACTGATCTGTCATACTATTAATACTTCTTATTAGTGATTTGTTAATAACCTTTTAATATTTTGATACTTGGATTCAGTTACTCACTAGTTTTTGTCTCGGATTACATTTTTAACCCTTTCCAACAGTCTGTATTGCATAACTGTCATTGTAATAATCTAGTCATGAATGTGGGTGTGTCGGGAATAGCAGAAGAAAACAACTCGATAGATATAAATAGGAAGGAACGAAATGACTGATCAATAACTGAGTTGATATTTAACAGACAGGAAAACATATTTAAAGGTGTAGAATTTTCTTTTGTATCATGATTGGCATCTAAGAATAGAATATCTTTACTACTGATACGATGAAAGATGGATCGAGCTCTATTAGTTGAAACATTTTGTACATATTATGTTTAAATTATTGTTGATTTGTATTGATCATTTGTTTCTCTATGTGTCCAATCAGGTGCTCATCTTTGAATGCCAAAAACAGCTGACTCTTACGTATCACTATGGAAACCTCCCCAAATGTTTCTGAACACAAGAAGGACGGTGTCCAATCAGAATGCTCCGATCCCGGGGAGGCGGGGCTTGCAGATCCCAATGCCAACTGGGGGGCTGAGCCTAACTTCAACCTCAACCTCAATCTGGCGTCACCGAGGAGCCCCCGCCCGGCCACAGAGACCTCAAAGCTGCACGGAGGGAACAAAGGAGGTGGGAAACCTGGGGCAAAAGGGGCGGTTACTATGGAAACTGGCAAGTCAGCAAGCACCCTGGCGACTCCTGTGATGTCACCAGGGGAGAGAGACGATCCATCGCGGCAAAAAAGCAAAATTCCAGCTTTGTCTCGCTCACCAACTGCCGAGGCATCGGTGAGCAGCCGAGGCGAGCAACGGCTGAAATCCCCAAACCCCAAACATACTCCAACGCTCAGTCCCAAGACGCACACACATGGCAACATGGCGGCAAGTCCAAAACCCAACCGAGTGGAGCAAACGGCGTTCGCTAGCAGCCCAAGAATGACGGAGAGAGTCAAAACGCAAGTACAAAGACCGGAATCTGCAAACCCCAAACCACATACTGCACCGACAACTGAACTCACAACAAAGACTACAAATAAAATAACAGTTAGCCTGAAAATGCAAACAAACAAGAAGCAAGATGGTGGAAAAGAAATTAGCCTCGAGACTCCAAAAACGCTTCATCTTCCCGTAAACCACCAGAATCTAAAAGGAGATTCAATTGTGATCAGTCCAAAACTAACCAACAGAACCCCAACAATGGCAGCCAAAACCCAAAAACTAGACCCAGCAAGCATGAAGTCAAACGAGCCGACCGGACATGACTCAAGAACTCACGGTTCTGAGACTAAATCACAAACCCAGAGGGCTGAAACGGCACTGCTCGGTACCAAGACCCCTCAACTGAGTTCTCTGAGTCCCAAACCATCCACACAGAGGAAGGCCTCCGGGACCAGGAACAGTAACGCATCAGGGTCCAAGGAGAATCTTGATAGCAAAGATTCAAGTGTTGGTTCTGGATCCAAAACAAATTCCAAATCCAGTTCAAGAGCTACGATGGAGACCAAGGACAGTCTGGACTCAAAAACTGGTTCTGATTCCAAAGCCAATGCTAAAACCGCAATGGGGTCCAAAGATAGCCTGGATTCTAAAAACGGTTCTGCTTCCAAAACCAGTTGCGGATCAAAGGACAGTTTAGACTCCAAAACTGGCTCCAATTCCAAAGCCAGTCCGAGTTGTAAGTCTGGAATGGGGTCCAGAGACAGCCTTGATTCTAGACCTGCAACGGAAATCAGAGCAAGCAAAACCAGTCCAGATTCTAAGGCAGTCGCGGGTTATACGTCTGTGATTGGTTCAAAGGACAACCTGGATCCTTCAGACTTGAAAGCGTGTTTCAACCCAAAAACTGGTCCAAGTATTAAACCGGGTTCCGAGTTGAATTCGAGCTATAATGCAGACGTCCTTTCCAGTCCTAAACCTGGTCTGACCCGTTTGACTTCTAAACCCTCTTTGGTGGTCTCTGGCTCTAAGGAGTGTTATGTTGGATCTGTCTCCCCATCGTCCTCTAGAACTGGTCTGTCTGGGTCCAAAGATGACAACATCAAGACCACAAGCTCCAGGGCTAAACCCAGTCCACATCCTAAAGCTGGTTCAGAATCTTCTAAACTTGGACCAGTTAGGTCAAGTTCAAAGTCAGCTCTGGCAGATTTGTCGCCCTCCTCTGCGCTCTCTCCTAGAAGTTCAGCAAGTAGGAGTCCTGGGTCTGGTCCAGGTAAAAGTCTCGGTTCTGGTCCAGCTGGCCCACACAGCGAGATCCAGAGGAGTCCTGGTTCTGCTCCAGGTAAGTCTAATCAGCAATGATCCAGAACGGTTGAGGACAAGTTCTCATAACAAGAAGGTAATAAATTTGACAAAATAAGCTGCATCTCATGGTCTGTAAGTAAAGCTTCAGAAGCTCTAGATTTTTATTCTGGGACTCCATTAGAGCAGATTTACATGATTCACTCTTGAAAAACATCTTTATTTATTTCATACTGGTCTGTCGGTGCCTGAAATGGGCCGAAGGTTCTCACAGGTAGCGACACTGTCCCCCACCAAGACCCCCGCGGAGTAGGGGGGGCTCTTCACACATAGCTAACTTACTGCTGAGCAAACAGCACTGGAAACATCCCTAGGGTTATGTTGTGGTACTCTTCGCCAAAATCGGTGTGTATCATATTAAGATGAAGCTGAACAAGAGTTGTATGTTTGTGTTTAGGTATCAGTTATCATTTGTCTGTCACTTTTGAAGACCCGATGAACTTAACGGGACATAATTCTTCAGTGCTGAATTTGATTACAACCAAATTTGGGAATGTTGTGTGTAACATTTCATACAATTCTACCGACAATAGCTCCCCCTTGTGGCCATTAATAAAACTCTTGAACATTGTAGTTACTCACAGATTCACAGACTTTAGTTGGTAACTCCAGATGTGAATCACAAACACTTGGTTCTGGCGCTGAGATGGTGAGTAGCAGATGCAGCGATCACATGCATTTTCTTCAGGAAATGCAGATATTCTAGTAAACATTAGCTCTTACTTAGCCACTATTTGCTACTACCTGGAGCCGTGAGCCCTGCAGCTAACGTTAGTCATCCTGTTAGCTGTCTCTGCCAGAGCACCAGAAGAGAGTTGGTGCTGACATCTTAACATTAGCTTTGGATGGCGGGAACGTCTGTGCCTTAAGCTCGCAGTTATCAGCAGTTAGCAGTTAGTGGCTAACATTAACAACAAGTAAAGCTATATGTCCGTCAGTAAAACACAGACTTTTTTTTTAAGTATGTTTTGGGGCTTTTTTATCGCCTTTATGATAGAGATAGCTGAAGGTAGACAGGAAAGGGGGGCAGAGAGAGGGGATGACACGCAGCAAAGGGCCGCAGGTCGGACTCGAACCCTGGGCCGCTGCAGCAAGGACTCAGCCTCGGTACATGGGTTGCCAGCTCTACCCACTGAGCTAACTGGGCGCCCAGTAAAACACAGAGTTGAGGCAGAGAACCTGCAGGACATCAGAGGGAAAATATAAAAATAAAAATATGACTTTCCTTCACAACCAAAAAGCCTGTCCAAGAGTTATAATATTGTATCCGTTCTACAGTTGAGGCTATATTAAACCAAAAAGTCAGGATATCTCCGCCTGCTGTCTCTCACACAAACTTCTTCTTATACTCTTATGGCTTTAGACTGCGTTTTTTACCCCAAACACTCTTTTATATCTTCTGGTTTTCTTGTTTTTGTGTTGACAAAAAGTGTATTTAGTTGTTTATATGTTGAATCAATCATCAATGCAAAACTCAAAACTAAAAATCCTGATCAAAATACCCAAACTGAGGATAGGGGTGAAGAAGAAGAAGAAGAAGAAGAAGAAGAGGATATCAAGAGTTATTCAAAGAATTACATAAAATTAAAAGTAAAATATACAATACAATAAGCAAAATAATTCAGTCTGTCATTTTATTTGTTTCCTATTTGCAGGTTCTGGCCCCAAAACCAGAACCACTGTTGCTTTGACAACGAGGGTGGGATCCGCACCAGAGCCTGGAGCAGTTGGGTCTGTTGCTGTGGAAACTGACAGCAGGACACCCCATAATACCAATCTTACTCTGGGTCTCACCTTTGATTCTATCACTAAGACGCTGGCACAAACAGGCACTGCCGACGAGGAAGAACATTTGAAACCTTCAGAGACCAAAGTGACAGCTGTAGGAGGACCAGTGGTGTCCCAGGGGGCCGTGCGAGGGGTAGATGTGACTGACAACGCAGGGTGGTCGCCGGGCACGCCGCTGAGCAAACCGAGTCACCTGGGAGACGCAAATGCCATCTCCGCTGGTAGCAACATCCCATCGTCAAGGGCAACGGGTGTGGAGAGCAAGAAGGAAGAGAAGAAAGAGGAGATGGGAGAACAGAAAGATGGGAGTTCTTCTTCCTCTTCATCTCCAGCGAGCTCCAAGGCGTTGAGGGAGACAGCAACCATGACTGACCCCAGCGGGAGGCTCCATGTGTGGGGAGGGGAGCGGAGAGAGGTGGGCGTCCAGGTGGAGGCGGAGATGGTCGAACTTTCGGCGTCCGGCCTGCACAGGGGAACTCCAGCCTACTCTCTGATTGGCTCTACCAGCTGTCAGTCGGTTAGTTTGACCTCGCCGACTGCTCCGTCCCTGTGCTGCGCCCCCGCCGGCCAGCCGCCTTTCCAGCACGTCTGCAAGATCGACATCGAGCTGCGCAGCCAGTCGCTGTTTCCCTCCGTTGTGACCAACAAGGCGAGTTCCCTCCCCGCCTGTCTGCGCACATACACCTTCCAGCAGAGCCCCGCCCTTACGCCAGAGCGCGGACGACGAGATGTTAGCGCCGAGAGCATCTGGGAGGAGGAGGAGGAGGAGGCGGAGGAGAAAGTAACGAAGGAGGGTGAGGAAGAGGACGAGACAGCGAAGCCACAGGAGGTGGCGTGGGACAAGCAGGGGATGACGTGGGAAGTGTACGGCGCCTCGGTGGACCTGGAGTGCCTGGGCACCACCATCCAGTCCCACTTGGAGTCCAAGATCAGGGAGCAGGAGAAACACATCACCACTCTGAGGAAGTCTGTCTGCTCCAACAGCAGCTTCAGAGGGTATAAGATCAAGAAGAGGAGGAAGAGGAGAGGAGGGATTCTGGGATGCTGCACGAAGCCGCCGGCTGTAGAAGACTAGAGCAGGAAGTTAAAATTACACTTTAAAACACAACTGTGTGCAGGACGGACACTTCGTATCCGTAGTTTAACACTTTATATCTCACAGACCTGCATGGATTTCACCACATTATTATATAATAATAATACATTTATTTTATATGGCGCTTTAAATAGGTCCTTTACATGGTAACAACAGACAATAACAGACAATAACAAAGGTAATATGAGTAAAAAAACAACTATATTTGGATTTAATACTCTAATAGAAGATTAATTATGTTGCACTTCACATGAATTCAAGGCAAACGGCGGATTTCATGTTAGTAGATGAGAGCAGGACACACTTTATAGTCTCCTAACCTCTTTTAGTTTTATTTAATTTAATTAAAAGCAGATAATCTCAATTGTCTCCCAACATGTTCAGGATGTAAATTCAATTTAATTTCGCCTGCCTGCTGTTTTCTGCCTGAATCTACTTGAATGCAGCATTGAAACTTCATTTCATGGTAATTTTATTTATTTTTAGGTCTGTTGACGTCAGTTTTTATTTCATTCTTTATGTTTTCAAAAGGTTTGATAGGATCAAATGTGGAAAACTTTATTCTCTATAGTTAAAAAAAGCAACTATAACTAAAAAACCTAAATGTGGAAAGGAGATTTTATTAATAATACAATGTATTTAAATATATTGTTAAACACTGTATGAATTATGCGTATTTGGTTTAATTTCAGGACTTCAAGATCTGTCATGTTTGTTGCCTCAAGTACAGAGCAGAGGCCAGGAGACAATTAGCTTAGCATAAAGACTGGTGTCGGCTAGCCTGGCCTTTGTCACCAGACATTTACATTTTTGTTTTTACCTTTTTGTTTGTGTACAGGTGAAACAAAAGAGGTGTGTTTTTTTACTTTGGGGAGAGCCACACTGTAAAAAATCAAATAAAAATACAGTAAAATAACAGAAAATACAGTAATTTTCTATGATTAAAACAGAGTTTTATCTTTATTTTTACATAAAATCTTGTGTAATGTTTAATGAACGATATTTACACTGTAAAACCAATGAAATGTGCTATAAATACAGGTGAACACTGCTATAATACAAATAATCAGGCTTAAAATTATAGAAGAGTGCTGTTATTATTTGATTTTTCTTATTTTAATCAGAATTTTAAAAGTTATAGAACTGTAATAAAATACATTATCTGTGAAATTACAGTAATTATTGATGTTTTCAGTGATTAAAACTGTATTTTGACAGTTTACCAATGCTTATACACTGATAAGCAACATTTATTCAACGTTTTTGTTGTGAAAACCTCTATAATTATACAAGATATGTGTCAATTAACCAACAAATCCATGAAAAATTACACAACAAATACTTTATTTTACTGTTAATTGTCACAAATTGTATTTATTTTAGAAATGTATTAACATTATTAAACTTGAACTTAACAGTTTAATCTGTTAAATAAATATCTTTTTATGTGAAAATTTTCTTTCTAAATAAGCCGTCATTTTATGATTATTTACAGTTACAGATTTTTCACATTATTTTACATTAGACGTGAAAATTCACAGGATATTTTTTTGTAATTTTATTAATAATTCCAAGTATTTAAAAACTACAAAAAAAATCTGTAAAAAACTCGACATCTGTAAGTTTACAGGTTTTTCCCGTTTATTTTACAGATCAGGCTAGCAGTTTCCATTTGTTTCTAGTCTTTATGCAAAGCTAATCGCCTTCTGGCTGGAGAGTGAATAAATGTATATTTCTCAACAGATTCTGATTAATCAGGATTTCTCAGGGAACAGAAACATGATGGATTTGATATTTCAAGGACTGATTGTTATTTATTTTCTGATCATAAGCAATATTATTTTATATATTATTATATATTATTCATTATAGTTACTGGTGTTTCTTTCACTGCTGTATTTACAACCTTTACTAACAGTCGTATCCAGCAGTTTGTTTCAGGCCCAATGAGAATCACTAACACTTAAGCAGCTTTTCAATATTTCATCCACTTTTTATAAAACGCACAAACCACTCAAACACTGTGTGTGTGTGTGTGTGTGTGTGTGTGTAGAGAGAGAGAGAGAGAGAGAGAGAGAGAGAAAGAGATAGAAATTCACTTTACTTCCTTTCTTCATCGCTTATATTTCCTTCCCTTTTAATATTTAACTTTCCTTTTCTTTCCATATCCAGGTCACTACACTTCTGTCAGTAGATATTAATTAATGCCGTAACGAGACTCTGTTCTCTGACTTTATTAATGTGTTATTTTAGTTTGTTTGGTGCCAGATTGTAACCAACAGCAGATACTGGTTGAAATATAATTATATTTAAATGTTCTTGTTCTTCTGTGTCTGTTTCCTTCATGACGTCACATTTTAGGCCCCAGCGGGAGTTCATGTCCTACTTATATAAACCTTTAGTCCACTCCTCTGCTTGCATTTCCCTCCTCTACCTCTTTCTCCTTCCTCAACCCTCTTTCGTAACTCCTCCTGTGGTGGAGTTGTGTTGTTGATGGAGGAACCGGGTTGCTTCTCTGAATTATTCAGAAACATTAAAATCACGCTCATGTTAACAACAGAGTCTCTCCGCCATGTTTTATTCAGTGTGAGATTCACTGAAGGACACACAGTTCAGTGTGGTGCTGGTTGTTAAAGGTCCAGGGTGTAACATTTAGGAGGACCTATTGGCAGTTTAATCTTCAAATAATCAAATACAGATGCGAGTGGTGTTCAGTTAGTTGTAAACTCCACCACTAGATGGCCCTAGATCCCACACACTGGACCTTTAAAGCAGCAGTTCCCAACCTTTTCTATTATTGAGTAAGCTGACTAAGTGTCATATTTTATGGATAAAAACAGCAGAGAATGGCTGATACAATGAACTCAAACAGTGAACTCAGTAACTGCAGGAAGTTTGTGTAAAACGAGCAATTTGGATGAACTTTGAGCAGATTATTTCCTGTAAATATACATCAGAGTTGAGTTTTCTGATGCTTTTAGGAACTTTTTATACAATTCTATGTCTGTATTGTGTATTTTTTAACAATCATTCATCTATCCAAGCAAACAATTTCATGTAGTTTTCTTCACAGAATCAGATTAAATGCTGACATATAAGCCTATACTGTATATTTGTAAAGTTTTCTTGAACCCCTTAAAATCGAGAAGGCCTCACAACTCCCCCGTGAAGCTTTGGCGCCCCCTAGTGGGGGTCCTGACACAATCTTAAATATTATGTGCAGAACATGACTGGTTTGCCGCAAGCATTTATTTCTATTTATATCATTAAGGTTAATCAGATATTTCCTTCTCACTTTAAACTGCTTGAATACGACTTACATATTCCTCCATGTATGCATTTATTGAATAAAAGAACAACAAATACAGAAAGTCTTGAAGTCTGCTGTTATGAGAGCAGGTTGGGTTTAATTGACCAATCAGAGAGCAGGTGACTGGGCCTGAAGGTAGAGCGTCTAAGACGCTGTGATGTCGCTCTTCTTATTCTGGTCTTCATCGGGCCGAGCTGACAGAGACATAACAAGGTATGTATGAATATAAATGCATGTAGTTGTACATTGATGCATCTGTGTGTGTGTGTTCATACCTTTAACAGTAATCCAGCTGTCATGAGAGTCTCCTTCAACCGAGTGGCGACATTTGTAGAGTCCCTCATCAGTTTTGGTCACAGCTTTCGGGTGTAAAGAAGTTGCTGCCAGTTGTATAACTGAGACACAAACACACACAAACACTCAATGCTCACATTATCTTCTTCATTATCTCTATGTAAAGCAGCAATTTCTGAATTTAGGAGCATGTTGGAACTATTTCTTGATGAACAGGATGTACCTTTTGGTTTAAGTTTTTGCACCAAACCTATAAAGAATATTGTAAAGTTTAAAGTAAATAATTATGAACTGAGGTCATGAAATATTTTACTCGATCGGACGGCCATTCTTGTAGTAGAAGGCTTCGAAGTTGGAGGTGAATTCTTTGGTGATTCTGCTTCTATGTAAACAGCGCAGCATCACGTCCTCCCCCTCCAACACAGGAAGTGACGGACTTTCCATAACCACTGTCACAACAGCAGCCAGAGGAACACAGTTTGTTTTAACAACGCTGTCTTTTCCTAAAAGTCTTTTCTTTCTCTTTAGTAGAAAGGGACAAATGCATATTTTGAATAAAGTTATTGGCCCATTACCAACTGGGCATTTGAGCTTGCTAATTGACAGTTACCAAGGGGAAAGAGCTTTTTCAATATAACAGAATGAAATGTATGATAGGGATAAAGGGTACTACTCTGGGTAATGTTGAGGGCGTTGCTCCTCTCCCCTGCTGGATTCTCACACCAGTACACTTCGTCCGACCAGGGATATCCAGAACGGACGGAGCAGGACAGGCTGCGTTCTGAAGACACTTGATTGGGACACTCTGTGATAGTTCCCAGCCAATCGTCAAACCTTGGAAAACAGAAGCACAGTGTGTTGTAACCTCTCAGCTGTGAGTATGAAACCGACTGTGGTTTGTTTGTCCAACACTTTGGTTCACATTTAAATTTGTACAGTCATGATCCACAGAGGATGAAACTAACCTAGCTGGAGTCCAACACCCACTGAAAACATGTCTGACTTTGTGACTGGTTTTTCCTTTTTGCAGATGACATGGTCCTGTTGGCTTCATCAGACCGTGAACGTCAGCCCAATTAGGGGCAGTTTACCACCCCTGCAAACAGAGTGTGAAGCGACTGGGACAATTGTCAACACCTCACCAAGTCTGAGGCCATCATTCTCTGCCCGAAAATAGTAAATTGCACCATTGAAGTTGGGAGGGAGATGTTGCCCCAAGCAAAGGAGTTTAATTATCTCGGGATCTTGGTCATGAGTCACAATAAAATAAAACATGAGATGGACAAGTGGACTGATGCTGCATAAGCAGTACTGCAGGACTGTAGTGGTGAAGAAGAGCTGAGCCAGCAAGGCAAAGTTTTCCAACCCTCACCTATGGCCACAGGCTTTAGGTAGCACCCGAAACAATGAGATGTCGAAGCAAGTGCCCAAAATGAGCTTCCTCAAGAGGAAAGCTGGGCTCAGCCTTAGAAATAGGAGGAGCTTGGACATAGGAAAGGAGCTGGTGCTCCTCTGCGTTGAAAGGAGCCAGCTGAGGTTGTTCAGAAATCTAAATAGGATGAAGAACATAGATAGATGGAGGACGTGCTGCATTAACAAGTCCAGTCTTGGACTTGAGATGTTGTTTCTGTTGTCTTGGGCTCTCGCCAAATATTGTAGTTGGTCTTGAATGATTCCAGCCATATCTGTTTGGGTTTTTTCTCCTTGAAAACAAAACCTTTGATGAAGCATGATTGTTCTGAAACATTAATTGGTTTAATTCAAAATCCATCAAGAACGAGATTTGACATTGGCCGCCTGGTAACCATGTTAACCACGCCAAAACTCATTGCCAGTGGCTCATGGATTGGGTTTTTCTGTCTCAACCTTGACTTTGTCTGATTATTACTTGATCTTGACTTGGACTTTTTGGACTGATTTGCACAAATTTTGGTAAGGACAGTCATGGTTCCAAGACGATGTAATCAATGGCTGTTTCTCTAGCGCTATCATGAGGTTTATATTTGTGTTTCTCGGTGAATTCCTTTAAGTTGTCGTGTGTTCTCCTTTTCTTTGTTGGCGAGATTCTGGGAATAAAAATGGTTATTTTTTCAACTTTCAGATGATCTTATCAACTGCAGTAATCTGGGTTTGTATTTTCATATTCTGACACACGATACAGGTAAAGTCCCAACCTCATCAGCTTCCACTGGGTGTTATTGTCGGGCAGCTGGCAGCTCACAGTGAACGTCTCATTATGGAGGAACTGTGTCCTGTTGTGGCCGATCACGTCTAAGGAAGCTCTCTGAGAATCGTCTGTGTTGGGGTGATGAAAATGGTAAATGGATATCATATAAATTAGTTTAAAAAAAACAACAATAATTGTTATATATATAAAATCCATGTTTGTTGCCTACCAGCCACCCAAACTATTTCGTGCCAATCATGAACATAAACATCAGGTAAGGTTCCATCAGCACCACAGGTGTAAACACCCTGGTGCTCATGGGTAACAGGGCCCAGAGTATAGGAGAAACCTTTAGACGCTCGCTGGCTCACCAGGACCTGTGAGAAGAAAGTAGACCACACAGTTATGGCAAACTGAGACTCACATGTTAGCTTCAAAGCTCCCTTATTAGCTTTCTTACTAAACCCCAGTCTTAGCTTGCAAGTCGTCACGCTTTGGATATTCCCACATGGTGCGATACATTTAAGTGTTAGTGAATGTGTAGGTGTCAGAAATGTTAGCATGTCCAGCTAACTAATATACAACCTCCAATAATAACAGATTAGTTGTGATGAAGTGAAATGACTACATTTGTTTTGGGTTGCAGCTTACATTAAAAAAATGTCCTGTTCATGACCAGCATATTCACTTTGTAGTATGTCCCATGTGTAAAAGCTGGTCCTTGCTGGAGTTTAGGCTAATGTTAGCGGCTCTGCCCTGATATTTATTAGATTTGGTGAAGTTTACACTCCAGCTATACCAGCAATTTCTGCCAGAAAGCTTCTAGAAAGAAAGTCACTACGAAGCTACTTTGTGGTGGATCACAGGACTGTGATTTTTGACCAAAAGTCAATGTTGAAGTGTTATTTTTAGACCTAGTTCAGTTTTATTATTATTTTGTTTCAGACACAGTTTGGTTAAATTCAGGGAACAAAACTACTTGGTTAGGTTTAAGAAGAGACCACGGTTTGGCTTAAAATAGACTCTTTAATAATGTTACCTGTAACCACTCAAATCGATGGTTACAGCTAGAAATGTGAAGATAGTTTTGTGTACCTCTGTCTGAAATCAAGGACCCATTGTTTCAAACATTGCCAAGAATTTTGAAATGTATGTGATTTGCGATGACATACACTTTACAGGTGTAGAAACTAGCTATATGTAAGAGGGGCTCAGGGAAGGGTCAGTTCTCGGGGGCGTGAGAATTTGCCAACCTAAAATTAGCTCTTGGTGAAATATTTAATGCCTCAAACCTTCTTGGTCCTCTCTCCAGGTCCCAACTTGGTCCAAACCAGCTGCAGGTCCATCTTTTCACTGTTGTTCTTTCTGTCAGTGTGTGTGTAACAGTTGACCCACACTGAGATACCAGGTAGGAGAGACTATCATCTTCGTTCCCATAACTGCAGAGTGATTCCTCTTGGGGCTGGTCTCCCGACGCAGCACATCTGATGACAGAAAGAGGTTGAAAATACACAGTACACCTCTCTAGAAGCCTGTTGCACCTTCTTTGTCCTTTTTATCCGGATATGGAGTTTACAACATGCTGGATGTTTGTTTACGCAAGACAAGTCAATTTAAAAAATATTATATATTCTATTGGAGACTAACACAGTTCTGCAGATAAACTGTTGTTTAGTCTGTTTTATTGAAAAATACTCACGATGAGATGAAGTTCCTGTGTTAATCAAGTAGAAGTGGACACACAGTACTAAAAAAAAAGTAAAGGAGTAAAAGATGAGAGTTTTAGTGAATATGTACCAAGTTATAAAATGCACAGTCACACACTTACAGAGCAGTCCACAGACTGAATTGTGTCTCATGTTGCTGAAGTCTATTTTCTGTCACACTGAAGAATATTGAAGCTTTATCAACATGAGGACTCCTGAAACTGTAATGGTGAGGGTTTATAACTGATCTTTGACCACTGATCAGATGTAAATAACTCAGTAAGTCATGTGGCTTCCTCTCTGCCATCTGATTGGTTTGCTAGATGCAGATTGATTTTTGGCTCTGGTCTAAAGTTGAATCATTGTTTAACAAACAAGAGGATCTATCAATCTACCATGTACAGGCTGACTGAAAACAATAAACATTTCTGTGTGGTTTTCCCTTTATCTTATATTGGGGGCGGTTGTGGCTCAGGAGGTAGAGCAGGTCATCCACTAATCAGAAAGTCAGCAGTCCGATCCCCAGCTCCTCCCACTTCAAGTGTCCTTGAGCAAGATACTGAACCTCAAATTGCTTCCAATGCTGAAAGGCGCTGTACAAGTACAGTCCATTTACCATTTGTCTCATTCACTATCAGTGAGAAATAAATAATTATATTCCCAACAAAGTTTCATCGACTGTCACTGTGAGCTGCAAGCATCAGTTATCAGCTGTGGGCTCAGTGTGCAGTGCTTTCAGTCAGCCTGTAGGTGGAACCAAAACATTATTAGGACATTATTAGAAGTGAACAAGACAAAATGGGATGAAGAGAAAACCACACAGAAATGCCTGTCCTCTTGTTTGTTTACCAATGATTCACCTTTAAAACAGAGCCAAAAATCTATATCTGCAACCAGCTAACCAATCAGAGGGCTGGGAGGAAGCCACATGACTTATTTACATCTGATAACTGGCCAAAGACCCTCAAAAAACCCTTACCTTTACACTTTCAGTAGTCCTGACATTGATAAAGTTTCAATATTCGTCAGTGTGAAAATAGACTTCATCAACATGAGACACACTTCAGTCTGTGGACTGCTCTGTAAGTGTGTGACTATATATTTTATAACTTGGTACATCTTCTCTAAAACACTCATCTTTTACTCTTTTACTCTGTTTAGTGCTGTGTGTCCACTTCTACTTTGTGAACACAGGATCTTCATCTCATCGTGAGTATTTTTCAACAAAACAGACTGAACAGTTTATCTGCAGAACTGTTCTGGGGTATTCTGTCAGAATATAGTTTTTTCCTTTAATGCAGAACATGTCTTATTTAAGATGCAAAATTTGGTAACATTTGTAGGCTAAAAGAAGCACTCATAACACAAATAACAAATAACAACAAATATAAGATATCAAACCCAAATGCAGACAATGAGGCTGAACACTACAGATTAATTTGTAAAAAAGTAAATTCAGGCAGGAACAGGTCAAAACCAGATAATAAGTCCAAAAGCCAAACAAATCTAAAAGGGGTAGTTAGAAAAGTCCAACATAATAAATCAGAAAATCCAAAACACTGGGGGAAATGGCTGGAATGCAAAGGAACACACAGACTAAATACACTGTTTCTTTTTCATATGCTCCACTCACATAATCTGATCTCATAGCTTTGAAACAAGCCAATCACAGTGACGCTTGACAATAATAGCTAGAAGTATGGAAAGTTGTTTCTTTAGGAAATCATGTTTGAAAGCTGCTACACTAATACGTCTCAAGAATAAAATATGAAATATTGAAAAACTGCAAACAGAAGATGGAAAGGTTGACGCACAGCCTTGGTAACCCGACTTGTCTTGCATAAACAAGTATCCAGCATGTTGTAGACTCCATGTCCAGATGACCTGATGCTGTTCTGAAGGACAGAGGTGTACCTAGAAAAACTGCTAAAACAGTGTATTTTCTACCTCTTTCTGTCATCAGATGTGCTGCGTCGGGAGACCAGCCCCAAAAGTAATCACTCTGCAAGACTGGGAACATCGCTAGAAGTGTCTCCGACCTGGTATCTCAGTGTGGGCGACACTGTAGAGATCAAGTGTTACACACACACTGACATAAAGAACAACAGTGACAAAATGGACCTGCAGCTGGTTTGGACCAAGATGGGCCCTGGAGAGAGGACGAAGAAGGTTTGGGGCATTGAAATTTAAAACCAAGATTTGTTATAGATATTTTTAGGTTTGGAAAATCTCATGACCCAAACAATTGACCCTTGGCTGATCCCATCCACCCTTACTTTATTGTTTCTATGTCTTTAAAAATGTATGCTGTAGTACATCACTTTTTAACAAAAATAGTGTTATACCATGAAATTCCTCAATATTACCTCAAAATTATTGGTAATTATGGGTACTTGATTTCAGACAGACACACCAAAAGCTGGTAACCATCTACTTGGACAGCTGAAAACGCATACGGAAGAAGTTTTCCTTTAAGGTTTTTTGTCAGAAAGGGTTATATTAAGAAGTAATCTATTTTAACCCAAACAATGGTATTTTCCTCCACCAAACCAAGTGCATTTGTTCCTTTATCCTAACCAAACTGTGGCTGAAACTGAAAATAAGCGAACTAGGTCAAAAATACGAAGTCAACATTGACTTTTGGTGTCACATGCAACACAAACCCCAATCTCTTGGGTGAAAGTCTTGTGCTTGACCAATTCATCCACCACAAAGTCTACTGGGTCACTTGACTTCCTTTCTGGAAGCTTTCTGGTGTTAACGTCCCCAAATCTGAAAAAGGTCAGGCAAAGCCTAGGACATAGCATCCAGGACCAGCTTCCACACATGGGACATACTACAATGTATATATGCTGGTCATGAACAGGACCTTTTCTTTAATGTAAGCTGCAACCCAAAACTATTGTAGTCTAGCTTAGTACTTATTAAGTACTTATCTGTTATTATTGGAGGTTAAACAGTTTTGTCTGTTCTTTATATTTTACTCATGTGTGATGCCTCTACATTCACTCACACTTGAATGTATCGCACCATGTGGGAATATCCAAAGTGGGACAACTCTGCAAGCTAACACTGGGGTTTAGTAGGAAAGCTAATAAGGGATCTTTGAAGCTACCGTGTGAGTCTCAGTTTGCCATAACTGTGTGGTCTACTTTCTTCTCACAGGTCCTGGTGAGCCAGCAAGCGTCTAAAGGCTTCTCCTATACTCTGGGCCCCGTTACCCATGAGCACCAGGGTGTTTACACCTGTGATGATGACGAAACTTTACCTGATGTTTATGTTCATGATTGGCACCGAATAATCTGGGTGGCTGGTAGGCAACAATCCCAAATCTTAAATCAGATATTTAAAAAAAAACAAAAAAACGTTTTTTTTAATTAATTTATATGATATTCATTTACCACCTTCATCACCCCAACACAGATGATTCTCCAAGAGCTTCCTTAGATGTGATCAGCCACAACAGGACCCAATTCTTCCACGATGAGGCGTTCACTGTGAGCTGCCAGCTGCCCGACAATAACACCCAGTGGAAGATGATGAGGTTGAGCTTTTACTTGTATCGAGAGTCAGAATGAAATTACAAACCCTGATTACTGCAGCCGAAAAGCTACAATAATCTAAAAGTTGAAAAAAACAAAAACATTTATTTACAGAATTCCACCAACAAAGACAATACATGAAAGCTAATATTAATTCACTGAAAACCACATATATCAACCTCATGATGGCGATAGAGAAAAAGTCAGGGGATTTTGTCATTTGAATACATCGTCTTGGAACCATGACTGTCCTTACCAAATATTGTGCCATTCAGTCTTGTAGATTTTGAGATATTTCACTACATAAGTGAAAACCTTCACCTGCTGTTTTCATAAGACATTTCACAAAAAAATAGTAAGAGCAGTGTCTGTATTCTTGTCACAAAGTCAGACACGTTTTCAGTGGGCATTTTCAAGTAAGTTTCATCCTCTGGAGATCATGACTGTACAAAATTGAATGGCAATCCATCCAGTAGTTTCTGACATATTTAAGTGTCAACCGAAGCGTTTGATCAACCGCCAGGAAAACATTTCCATCCCTGGAGCCATGCCGATAGCGTGGCTAAAGCAATCTGTCCGATACTCACAGCTAATAGGTGACAACACATTGTGCTTCTGTTTTCCAAGTTTTGACGATTGGTTGGGGAATATCACAGAGTGTCCCAATCAAGTGTCTTCAGACCGCCGCCTGTCCTGCTCCGGACATTCTGCAAACCCCTGGTCGGACGTACCGTACTGGTGTGAGAATCCAGCAGGGGAGAGGAGCAACGCCCTAAACATTAGCACCAGTAATATTTACCACACCTTTTATCCAGCCCCTATTTATACTGTTATATATAATTCAATCAAATAATCAAATTCATGGTTAATAATGGAACAATAACTTCACACTGTTTAAACACATATTTAAAATATGTATCTGTCCCTTTCTACCAGGGGTGAAAAAAATAAATACCACACTATTATTTAAGCAAACTGTGTTCCTTTGTGCAGCTGTTGTGTCAGTGGTTATGGAGAGTCCGTCACTCCCTGTGTTGGAGGGGGAGGACGTGATGCTGCGCTGTTTACATAGAAGCAGTACCACCAACGAAATCACCTCCAACTTCAGAGCCATCTACTACAAGAATGGCCGTCCGATCGGGTAAAATATTTCATAACCTCAGTTCATTATTATTTACTTTAAACTTTACAATATTCCTTATAGGTTTGGGGCAAAAACTAAAACAAAAAAGGTACATCCTGTTCCATAGTTCCAACATGCTCCTAAAATCAGAAATTGTTGCTCTACATTTCTCTTAGTTTACAGATTAAACAAACAAATACTGAAGAAGTGTGAGCATTGAGTGTTTGTTTTCCTCTGTGTGTTTGTGTCTCAGTCATACAACTGACGGCAGCATATTTACACTGAAAGCTGTGACCAAAGCTGATGAGGGAGTCTACAAATGTCGCCACCCAGTGGACAGAGACTCTCCTGACAGCTGGATCACTGTTAAAGGTACGAAAACACACACACACAGATGCATCAATATGAGAATATATGAATTTATATTCATACACACTCTAATTATGTCTCTGTCAGCTGGGCCCGATGAAGACCAGAAGAAGAAGAGTGACAACAAGACCTCTTAGATGTTCTCTGGCAACGCTCCACATACAGGCCCAGTCACATGCTCTCTGATTGGTCAATTAAACCAACCTGATCTCATAACAGCAGACTTCAAGACTTTCTGTATTTGTTTCTGTTCTGCATCACATTAAAAGCTACATGTGCAAGTTTTCTGACTTATAAACCTGTAAACACACATTACTCAACTGTTACTATTCTCATTGTTTGCTGCTGCATAAATCCATTATTGTGTCTATAAGCACAAATTTTAGGCCCTTCGTGCTGTTTTGTATTTCTACTCCACTACATCTCAGAGGCAAATATTGTACTGCATCGTATCGGCATATATGTTTTTTTATACAGAACATATAATGCAGAAAATGCTTGGGGTGATTTAAAAATGGTGTCATCACATAGTTCAGGATTATTCAGATCCTCTACTTAAGTAAAAGTACTAATATCCTGTTGTGAAAACACTCCACTTAAAAGTCCTTCATTATAAATCTTACTTGAAGGTCCAGTGTGTAGGATTTAGTGGCATCTAGAGATGAAGTTGCAGATTTTCCAAGCACAAGGAAGATACTACTTGTCAGACAAAATGGGATAAAGGGAAAACCACACAGAAATGCACATTCTCTGGTTTGTTTAACAATGATTTACCTTCAACCCCCAGAGCTAAAAATCTATATCCGCAACCAGCTAACCAATCAAAGGGCTGGGGCTGGGGCTGGATGAGTTATTTATAGCTGATCAGTTGTCAAAGACCCTCAAAAAACCCTCAACATTACAGTTTCAGGAGTCCTCACGTTAATAAAGCTTTGATATTCTTCAGTGTGACATAGACTTCAGAAACATGAGACACACTTTAGTCTGTGGTCTGCTCTGTAAGTGTGTGACTTTATATTTTATAACTTAATACATCTTCACAAAAATACTTTTCTTTTAAAATCTTTTACTCCTTTATTCTGTTTTTCAGTGCTGTGTGTCCACTTCTACTTTGTAAACACAGGATCTTCATCTCATCGTGAGTATTTTTCAACAAAACAGACTGCACAACAGTCTATCTGCGTTTTTCTCTCAGAAAATAGTATTTTTCTTTAATGCAATATCTATAAATTATGCATGCAAAGATGTTTTATTGAGCAATTTATGATGCAAAATCTGGTCACATTAGGTGGCATTTGGTTGTCACGAATGGTCAAACAGGGTAACGAGGATTACAAGATATTGGACCCAAATGTAGACAGTGAGGCTGAACTGGTGCAGTACAGATTATTTCATAACAAAAGGTGCAAATACAAAAAGGTTGACAGTAAAGTTAAGTTCAAAACCAGAGTCCAAAAAACAAACAAATCTAACGTGGGTAGCCAACAGAAGTGGCAAAAGTATGAATGTTCGACTCAAGAAGAGTACAGATACTTGTGTAAGAGTAGAAGTGCTGATTCTTTACACAAGTGAAAGTGTACAAGTACATTCTCTGAAATGTTCTCAAAGTAAAAATTCTCTCTTGGTTCCTTCTGAAGGACATTTCTACTGACTGTTAGTACGGGCTGTTTCATCTTCTTCTTTGTCTTTTACATTGTTTTTGTCATGTTACGGATGATATGCACTAAAAAAATTAAATTTAGCATGTTTTGAAAATGTAAGGAGTAGAAAGTATATTATATATTTGTGTACATTTCATTACAGTTACAAGTATTTGTACTTTGTTACTTCTCATTTTGCTTAGCCAGGAAATCCAAAGTCCAACAATATAAAGTAAAAAAAACAATGTAGAAGGCTCAAAACAATGGAAAACTTGACATAACGACATTTAAAATCACAGATCTTACCAGTAGTGCCGACTGTTTTCTTACTGTGACTTAAGAGCACCCTTACGCCTTCTGTCATCAGATGTACTGCGTCGGGAGACCAGCTCCAAGTGGAATTACTCTGCAGTCGTGGGAACAAGGATGATAGTCTCTCCAACCTGGTATCTCAGTGTGGGCGACACTATAGAGATCAACTGTTACACACACACTGACAGAAAGAACCATAGCGACAAGATGGACCTGCAACTGGGTTGGACCACGATGGGACCTGGAGAGCGGACCAAGAAGGTTTGGAGAATCAAAATTTAGACCAAGATTTCTTAGAGAGAAATTTTTGGGTTGCTAAAATCTCATGACCAAAACAATTTACCTTTCAATGAAACCATCCATCCTTAGGGTCTATTTTAGACCAAACCATAACCTTTTCCTAAACCTAACCAGACACCATTGTTTTGTTATAGTACAGCACTTGACTTGAGCTCTTCAATTGCGCTGCACATTGTGATTTCCTAGCGTTTTTTAGAAAGACAGGATGGACACGGAGGGGGACTATGCCTCTCCATTCGCTGTTCGGGGGAGGGTTTTAACTAGCAGCCAATAAGAGAGCTGTGAAGCTAAAATGTTACCCATGAGCACCAGGGTGTGTCTACAAATGCTGGCACCCGATTGAAGGAGACTCTCATGACAGCTGGCTCACTGTTAAAGGTACTAACACACACATGGATGCATCAATGTACAAATACATGCATTTATATTCATACACACTCTCGTTATGTCTCTGTCAGCTCGGCCAGATGAAGACCAAAAGAAGAAGAGCGACAACAAGACGTCTTAGATGTTCTCCGGCAACGCTCCACATACAGGCCTAGTCACATGCTCTCTGATTGGTCAATTAAACCAACCTGCTCTTATAACAGCAGACTGCAATACTTTCTGTGTTTGTTTCTGTGTTCTGCATCAGATTAAAAGCTACTTGTGCACCTGTAAACACACATTACTCAACTGTTCCTATGTCTTCTCCAACACCTGTTTTAAGATTTACCAAACATCTGTGGTATAATGTGTCAACTGTTGAAGCAAATAAGTTGTTTTGAGACTAAACTAGTAAATAAAACTTGGTGGTAACATTTGTATTAAAAAAAATCCATTGAAGTTCCTTTATTCAGATAAATTCTGTTTAAATAAGTTTGGAGAAATGCTGCATATAAATTACTTTTTTTATTATTAAATTTACTTTAATTAAGTGAATGGAATTAGTACAATCAACTTAATTGAATCAAGTTACCTCAACAATAAATATTTATTACTTCTACTCAAAGTAAATATATTTCATGCTTAAATTGTTTGATTTAAATAAACTTGAGTGGAACTAACTCATCAGGTTTTACAGTTTTTGAGAAAGACAAGAAATTATTAATTTATTATTAACATTATTATTATTATATTATTATTTGTGCTCTAGAAAATCGTGTTTTCAGCAAGTTCTTAACTTTATTAATTAATCATTTATTTCTCACTGATAGTGAATTGGATAAAACGAGATAAAGGGAAAACCACACAGAACAGCTAGTTCTCTTGTTTGTTTAACAATGATTCACCTTTAAACCCTTAGAGCCAAAAATCTTTATCTGCAAACTAGATAACCAATCAGAGGGCTGGAAGGAAGCCACATGACCCACTAAGAATATTTCAGGTTGACCAGTTGGAAATAAATATTGTCATTACAGTTTCAGGAGTCCTCATGTTGATAAAGCTTCGATATTCTTCAGTGTGACGGAAAACAGACTTCAGCAACATGAGACACACTTCAGTCTGTGGTCTGCTCTGTAAGTGTGTGACTGTATATTTTATAACTTGGTACGTCTTCACTAAAACTCTCATCTTTGACTCCTTTACTCTGTTTTTCAGTGCTGTGTGTCCACTTCTTGTTTGTGAACACAAGATCTGCATCTCAAAGTTAGTATTTTTTACCAAAACAGACTGAACAGTTAACAGTTTATCTGCAGTGTTTAAAACTACAATAAATTAAAACTCTCTTTAAAACTCTGTCATCAGATGTACAGTGTCAGGACGTCCCACCCACCCCATTTTATTTGTCATCCGTGTTTGCATTTATGGAGGTTTCTCCTCCTCGGTACCTCAGTGTGGGCGACACTGTGGAGCTCAACTGTACAACATTCAGTATCGGTTGGAACAGAAGCGAGACCTACCTGCATCTGGTCTGGACCAAGATGGACCCTGGAAACAGAACCAAGACGGTTTGGATCACTGAAACACTCCACTAGCTAGCTAACTGACGAATCTTTGCCCTGAGTCGCTATAAACTGAATATTGATATCGATTGAGATTTATAAACAGTAGTTGGGAAACAGTTGGTTTGGTTTTCTCAGTTAAAAATGAAAATCCATCTTCTGCAAAGTACACTGACTGACATGCTGACCAACATTTGTAGTTACATTAGAGCAGATAAACACAGTTTAATCTGTTCTTTACACTTTAGTGAACAGCCAATTTAGGAAACTAACGTGTGATCTACTCTCCTCTCACAGGTCCTGGTGAGCCAACGAGGCTCTAAAGTCATCTCCTATAGGCTGGGCCCTGTTACCCATGAGCACCAGGGTGTTTACAGCTGTGATATTGACTTAAGCTCACCTAATGTTAAAGTTTTTGATTGGCACCAAATAATCTGGGTGGCTGGTTAGCATCAAACACTTATTTTATATAATATGAAACTAATTATTACAGTGATTGATGTTTTTTATGATTTATCACCTTCGTCGCCCCCCCCCCAAATAGATGATTCTCCGAGAGCCTCCATATACATGATGAGCCACAACAGGAACCAGTTCCTCCCCAATGAGATCTTCACTGTGAGCTGCCATCTGCCTGACGGTAACACCCACTGGAAGATGATGAGGTTCGAATAACATATTAATTATGAATAATTAATATGATCATTAAATACCATGAACGACTGAAGTTGAATTCTTGATTTTAATGTGTGCTAAATATACATAAAATTAAACACAGTAAACCTTTACATAAACATTTCATGTGAAGAAAACTAAATGAAATTGTTATATTTAGTTATGTTTATATTGTTATTTAAGGTCTAAACTTCTAAAAGAATTTAACATAGTCTTCACTCTCTGATAAAGACAGTCTGACAGTCTCCTCCTGGATTAGAAAAGTTAAAACAACCAAAGGGCTGATAGAAAACTGGGAAGAAAACACTGAATTGTATAATGAAATGAAATGAAATGTATGATTGTTAGAAATTATAAATAATACATAATGCAGACAAATAATTGTATGAAAAGTTCCTAGAAATATCAGGAAAACTCGTCTGATCACATATACTTTGGGTTCATTGTACAGTTTGTACTGATATTTTTATTATTGAAAATAATATGAAATATCCATAAAAGTCACATAGTCAGGGGCCATCAGTTTACACAATGATAGAAAATGGGTCCCTTGAGGAAACATTTATTTTTTTTGTAGGCGATCTAAGCAGCTCAGAACTTGCTCAGGTGGCGTTAAGAGGTTTTATACATCCAAAGATTTCTATAAAATCCCTTTATAGTCGGTAAGTTTCATCCTCTGGGGACACTGACTAAACAAAATTTAATGGCAATCCATCCGATAGTTGTTGAGATATTTAAGTGCAGACCAAAAACGCGATGGACCAACCATACTGCTAGCGTAGCTCAAACCAATCAGCCTCATACACGAGGTTTGTAACACATTGTGCTTCTGTTTTTTAAAGGTTTGACAAGTCGTTTGGGACAATCACAGAGTGTCCCAATCAAGTGTCTTCAGACCGCCGTCTGTCCTGCACCGTCTGTTCTGAATATCCCTGGTCGGAAAAACTGTACTGGTGTGAGAATCCAGCAGGAGAGAGGAGCAACAGCCTCAACATTAACACCGGTAGTGTACCACACCCTATTTATACTGTTATATCTATTAGACTGTAACACACTAGCCACCCAGGAACATGCCAGTTCACAATGGCTCCCCATTTTATCCTCAGGATAATTATAATAATAACAATCCATTCAGGATTGGCTGCCACATTACAAATGGCCGCTGTGGCACACACTGCATCGGTTCCTCACCACTCAGACAGGTGTATAAAAATTTAATAGATTTAAAAACTATAATAACAATAGTAGTAATAATAGTTAAATAAAAGCTTGACTAAAAGACAACAAAAAGACAAAACAGAACAAAGACAAACACAATGTACAAGAGGGATAATAAAATGTTGTCTATTAAAAATGTAACATATGAACATAAAATAACATAAATAACATCTATAATCATTCTTAAGCAAGTTTAGTTTATGTTGCTCAAATGTGCAAGCAGCAGGGGAGAGAACCCAAATGCAGACAACTGAGGCAAAGCTGAAGCAGTTCAGGGATTTAATGCGCAAAATCAAGTAAGGGTCGAAAGATTTTGCTGCCACCTAGTGGCTAAAAGATTAAACCTGCTATCTCCCAGAGTTCCTCAGCACTCACACAGGTGTAGGTGCTGAAGCCAACCAATAGAGACAGGACTGAAGAACTGGAGGGAGGGCAGAAAGAGCTGGGAAAACAGCCTTGGAGGACAAGTACCCTCAAGAAAGTAGATTAATTTAACTGTTTAAAGGAAAAGAAACCTTTGAAAAATGATTTATGTTGGAATTCTGTTAAGTTTAAAGTTTTTCCCTTGTGATGTTTTTACCTTTTATTTTGCCTGTTTTTTCAGTTTTATTTCACTGCCCCACCCTACCTGCCCTGGTGAACCTCTAACAACATCACAAAGGGGGAAAAGCTCTCCTAGCAGGCTACTTAACGAGCTAACAGTCAGTCAGCCAGCTCTAAATGCAAACTGTGCTCCTCTGTGCAGCTGCTGACAGGGTGGTCCTGGAGAGGCCATCGCTTCCTGTGACGGAGGGGGAGGACGTGATACTCCGCTGTTTACATAGAAAACCAACCCAAGTAAAATTCTCCTTCAACTTCAATGCCACCTACTACAAGAATGACCAGCTGATCGGGTAAAATATTCCATAAAAACATACAAAAACTAAAGCCAGCTTCAGCACTGGGTGGATGGATGAACTGCTGTTGGTGAAGAAATAGTTCCAACATGTTCCTAAATGCTCCTGGATAATATGAGCATTGATTGTTTTCCTCTGTGTGTTTGTGTCTCAGGAATACAATTGACAGTTTATTTACACTGAAAGCTGTGACCAAAGCTGACGAGGGAGTCTACAAATGTCGCCACCCGGAGGACGGAGACTCTTCTGACAGCTGGATTACTGTTAAAGGTATGAACACACACACAGAAGCATCAATGTACAAATACATGCATTTATCTTCATACACACTCTCGTTATGTCTCTGTCAGCTCGGCCCGTTGAAGACCAGAATAAGAAGATCACAACGTCTTAGATGCTCCACCTCCAGGCCCAGTCACCTGCTCTCTGATTGGTCAATTAAACCCAACCTGCTCTCATAACAGCAGACTTTAATACTTTCTGTATTTCTATATCTACCAGGGTTCCCACTGTTTGAAGTTTGAAGAGTTTTTCATTCATTTTCTGACCTATTAGCCTATTAACGTACAATTAACCACAACAGCAAATGTAATCTGAGTGAGGGGCTAAAATACAGTTACCCGGACAACATCAATTATTTCCAGGATATTTTGTCATTTTAATCAATTTCCAGGTGTTTCCATGACTTGAAAACTAATCTAAATTTCCAGGTTTTCCAGATATTCCAGGATGAGGGGGAACCCTGACCTAAATGTGTGCATGTTTCTGTTTATGAATCTGTAACACATTACACTCATCTAGCAATAAAAAGAAGCAATAAAACTGAAAAACAATATTCTGTTAAAGGTATATCATAAGTTTGTTTTGTTTTTTAAAAATGTTACTTAATCAAAGTTTATTTGTGTGGCACCTATCAGTTCACAGTTCTTCACAACCTGCTAATAGGACATTAAAAATGATAAGAATGTGATAAAATAGATTCAATAATAGTAGTAATAGAGTTACATAAAGACTAGACTAAGAAACTAGATCAAATAGATCAAAAAGACAAACAAAACACTGACAAATACATTTTTTAAAAGGGATATAAAATATATAATGGTAATACAATTTACAAAATAAATGTGATAAAATGGGTGAATGAAGTTATATTAATTCTTAAGTAAAAGACAGGCAGAAAGAGGCAGGTTTTAAGTTTGATTACAACACAGTAAAGGATACGTAGGACCCAAATGCAGACTGAGGCCGAGCTGAACCAGTTAATGCACAAAATATCATCTACATGTGTTTATGAATCTGTAAAAATTATAAAAATGTAAGTAAATATCTGTCTAATATAGGAAACATCAGGGACAAGAAAACACTGAATTTGTCAAAAAAGAAGGTTATTAGGTCTGTATGATTGTCAAAAATTATTTAAAAATACATAACACAGACGGAGAAATGTATAAAAATCCCGGTAAACTGTGACAGTGTTACAGCATCAGTAATACCAGGAACCCTTAAACTGAACCAGTAATGTTCAGTGTTGTGAGTTGGCCTGTAGAGGGAACTGTAGGATTACAGTAAACATTACAGAGCTTCCACCTTCATGACAGAGTTTAATGACATTATAGAAGTTATACATTTATCTGAATAATTATGAGGGAATCTGTATCCATCAACCAGCTATAACCGGTGCAATTACAATTACTTTTTCTGTAGAATATGAATACAACTCAAACTGTTTCCAAAGTCCTAGACCACTTAACTGCACATTTTATGTTCAATTTGTATCAAAATATTGGATCAGTAATGGATCATAAAATATTTTATTTTATGATTAACAGTTTATTGTTTTTCAGAAAATTTAAACATACACACATATCCATCAGAAAAATGAAGCAAGTACACAAACAACAAAATAGAATGAAAGGAAGACCTAGCGCGACCACAGACAAAAACTAAACTATAAATACATTTTATTTTATTTTAGGATTAGCTGTCAAAGTATATTGTTATATAAAGTTTAAACGTGAAAAGTTAATATAATGATAAAGTTATTATGTTTTAAAGTTAAAAGTTGTTATAACGATAAAGTTATTATTTTTTAAATTGAAAAGTTGTTATAACGATAAAGTTATTATTTTTTAAAAAGGTTTTATATTAAAACAAAATGATCATGTAACATAACATTTCATGTTATTATAATAATAATAATAATAATAATAATAGTATTTTGTTACAAAACGTTTCTTGCTATATCATAAGTTTGCTATATCATAAGTTTGTTTTGTTTGTTTGTTTGTATATGATAAATGTTACTTTAAATACTTATAGCTACATTTTAACTGTCAGAAACAGGATACCAGTTACTACTACTACTAAAACTGCTACTAAAATAACTAATATAGTTTGTTTTACTTTAAAAATAAGGAGCAAACAAATGTTAAAAGTGTTGAAAGGTCGAGAGAGGTACAGAAACAGTGGGAGAGAGAGAGACCCAACGTTCCTTCCTGCCTGGCTTGGCGCCAAAAAAACAAACACGCTCGGCGATGACGTCGGGCCCTCTCGGATTCTGATTGGTCGGCTGCGGCTCAGTTTAAATGCCCTCGAGCCGAGCCCCCCCAACAGCCACAGCGCGAGGGCGACTGACGGCTCGAGGCAGCTGCGGGAGCTCTGGACACCTGTTGCCACGGAAACAAGAGCGGCGGGAAAAAAATACCAATAAAAGAAACCAGAAGAAGGCGAGTTTCTGACATTTTGACTTCATTTTAAGGTTAATTAGTGTGTAAACAGTGATTTTTTAAACTGAAAACCGCCTTACAACGACTTTATAGTGACTTTATTTACAATATACAACGATATTATACATTGTTATTTTTTTTAGAGTCTGTTGTATCGTTATAATTATGTAGTATTGTTGTTTTTGGCGGTACTGTATATATGCAGGAGTGGAAGGAGCTACAACAGGGCTGGGAGGGTTACTGTAAAACTGTAATCTGATACAGTTACTAATCACCTGATAAAGAAGGTTGTTAGTTACATAATCCAAGTATCACAGTATTAAAATAATGGATTACTTTCTTTTGGATTATCTCAACACTAAATGTGCAAATAAAAACACTAGAAAGTAAATATCAATATTGATGCAAGTGAATTTAAGTAGTTTTTTTGTATCCTGATTTTGTTTGTAGTCAATTACTTCCCTACTTAAATATGCATTTAAAATATTACTCAACAAGTACAAGTACCTAAATATTAGAAAAAAGTGCTTAAAGTAGCAAAAGTAAAAGTAGTCATATTGAAAGATGATGTGTTATTATTATTGTTACCGATGCACTTCTGTAATGAGCATATATTGTATATTTAACTATACTGTTTGATATATTTTACATACAAGAAAAACAAATGATGAACTTATAAAACTTTATGTATTGTGATTATATTTCTTCACATTAAAGTCAATGCAATGTAACTAAACCTGTTAGGAAATAATATTTCCCTTTAAATTTTAGTAGCTTAAAAGTATAAAGTAGCATAAAATAAACCCCCACTATATACACTGTCACTATATGCTTTATGCCAGTTTTCTGTATATTTTCAGACGTTTATATCTTTTTTCTGCAGCGTATTTTGGGTCTAAATATTTCTTTGTGCATTCATAATCATATATGTGATTAAACAGCATAAAGCCCTTATTTAAAATAGGTTCCAGGAAGGCCTAATCTATACAAAACAGGAAGCTGAACATGAATACTGGTGCGTCTGTCTGTGCAGCCTCTTGATCTACAGCGTGCAAACAACCCAAATACGCATGTGCATTGTTGTGTTTTGTCAACAACAAGGGTCACAGTGTGTTGCAGTCTGTGCACACTGTTCTGGATGTAAAGGTCATAAAGTTAAACGTCTCTGACGTGTTTAACTCCAGAGGCTTGTGAGGTGATCGATGTTATTAATGTTGACCAACAACACAGCTTTGTTTGCTCTGGAGAACCACTTTACGCACACGCTTGGCAAGGAGGTGAAAATGGTGGAGGAAATGGGGTAAAGGGGACGACTACGGAGTTTATCTATAACGCAGCTTTTTACACGTTTAAATAACTTTATTAAAGCATGCTCGGCTTTAATCCTTCAAAATAAAAGCTCTTGAGCGTGCACTCAAATAAAAACTGGGGTTTTAGGTTTTTCGGTCAGCAGCTAATTTTAAAAAAAGGTGTCTGTTTCCCAGATGAAGTGAGACACAGTATTTTTAGAGCCTGGGTCCTGGTGTTTTTGTCCTACTTGTAACGGATAGGAGACGACACACTGCTGAAACACAGCAGGAGACTGAGGGCTATTTGTGGACACAGAGATGAGGAGTGGACAGTGCGATAGAGAGAGGATGATAATCCTCGTTAATGTCAGCCAGAAAGATTAAACTCATAAATCTTGCCAACAGCTGACCCGCCTCCTCTCGCTCCTCTTCCTCTTCACTGTCACACCTTAAGTGACCCCAAAATATTACAATATTTGTAGCCTTTGGGTTCAAGGACGTCATTTCTTCTTATTTTTTATTTTAAATGCTTAATCCTAGTGCCATTAATCATTGAGGTCATTTATGAAGCTAAGTTATTGTCATTAAAACTAGTATTTTATGAAGTTATACTCTTGCTGCTGTTGGTTCAGTGGACTATTATTGTTACCTGTGTGTTATTATTATTAGTATTTATGCTCTTACATTGTCTTATACCTATATTTCAGAAACCCGCTGCCTGGCCAGGTGTTTTCCTCCACAGCTGTTAAAGACAGCCATGTCGTCTACAGTGCTGCTCAATCTGCTGCGTTGTGGTCGCTCCACCATCGCCAGACAGACCTTCCTCGCCGCACGCTCCTCGCCAGAAACCTCCACAGCTTCCGGGAAGGTGAATGTACACAAAGTGAAAATCAAACCCACACACACTGCAGCTTTTCAAAGATGATAACACATTAAACATTCAGCTAACTGTATTAATTAACGCCCTGCAGTTGGTTGGGGTGGTGGGCGTACGACAGGCCAGCGGGTCGGCCCGCTTTGACAGCGACGGCAGTGGCCAGCCGGTCACCTGGGACTCATTTGGTATCTGGGACAACAGGATAGAAGAACCAGTGCTGCTGCCCTCCAGTATCAGATATGGAAAACCCATTCCACAGGTAACTGGACACATCGTGTATCTATTGTTTGAAAATATCACCTCAAATAAAATATAAGGTACTGCCGCCAGAAAATGTAACAACGTAAAATACAAAATAGGCTGGTAGGTTGGATAGATGAATAACAAACAGATGAAAGGGTTAATTAGCCAGTAAGTTTGTTGGTAGGTTGGTTGGTAGGTTGGTTTGTTGGTAGGTTAGTTGGTTCGTAGGTAGGTTAGTTGGTTCGTAGGTAGGTTAGTTGGTTCGTAGGTAGGTTAGTTGGTTCGTAGGTAGGTAAGTTGGTTCGTAGGTAGGTTAGTTGGTTCGTAGGTAGTTTAGTTTGTTAGTAGGTAGGTTAGTTGGTTCGTAGGTAGGTTAGTTGGTTCGTAGGTAGGTTAGTTGGTTCGTAGGTAGGTTAGTTGGTTCGTAGGTAGGTTAATTGGTTCGTAGGTAGGTAAGTTGGTTCGTAGGTAGGTTAGTTGGTTCGTAAGTAGGTTAGTTGGTTCGTAGGTAGGTTAGTTGGTTCGTAGGTAGGTTAGTAGGTAGGTTAGTTGGTTCATAGGTAGTTTAGTTTGTTAGTAGGTAGGTTAGTTGGTTCGTAGGTAGGTTAGTTGGTTCGTAGGTAGGTAAGTTGGTTCGTAGGTAGGTTAGTTGGTTCGTAGGTAGTTTAGTTTGTTAGTAGGTAGGTTAGTTGGTTCGTAGGTAGGTTAGTTGGTTCGTAGGTAGGTAAGTTGGTTCGTAGGTAGGTTAGTTGGTTCGTAGGTAGGTTAGTTGGTTCGTAGGTAGGTTAGTAGGTAGGTTAGTTGGTTCGTAGGTAGGTTAGTTGGTTCGTAGGTAGGTTAGTAGGTAGGTTAGTTGGTTCGTAGGTAGGTTAGTAGGTAGGTTAGTTGGTTCGTAGGTAGGTTAGTTTGTTGGATGGATGAATAATGGATGAAATGATGAACTGACTGTCTCCTCTCTCAGGTCAGTCTGTCCCGGGTCGGCAGCGCTTCCATTTTGGGTCTCAGGAAGCAGAACGAGGACCGTCTCCGTATCGCCCGTATCCACGACAACCTGCTTTACTTCGCCGTGTTCGACGGCCACGGCGGCCCGCATGCCGCCGACTACTGCTACACTTTTATGGAGAAATTTATAAGGTTGAAACCTCTGAATATTCCAGCGGTTCTTATTGGAATATTAATATAAGTTATTTATATTGATCCGATTATTGATTGTTTGTGCAGAGACGCTCTGGAGGAGGAAGATGATCTGGAGAAAGTTTTAAAGAAAGCTTTTTTAGATGCTGACAAGGCTCTACACACACACCTCAGCTACTTCAACAACGGTGAGACACACAGAGAAGTACAGAATATATTAACTATAATATAAGTACATACTGTATTTACTGCAGGCTGCTGGAAAGTATTGTAAAGTAAAGTAGTAAATAAGTATCCATCCCTCTCGTCCTCCTTCAGCCTCCTTCCTGACAGCTGGCACCACGGCGACGGTTGCTATGCTGCGTGACGGCGTGGAGCTAGTGGTCGGTAGCGTTGGTGACAGCCGGGCGATGCTGTGCAAGAAGGGACGAGCCACCAAACTCACCAAAGATCACACACCTGACCGCAAGGACGAGAGACACAGGTACACACTGATCCCCTTTATACCACTGTACCAACTATCACTACTATGATCAATAATACTTTTACTACAGCTACTACTGCATACAGGTGCCTGTGCAGTATGTTTAATATTACATACAGACATTAAATTAAAAATTATATGAATAAATACAAACAAAATACATAATATAACCATTATAAATTATAAAATTGTTGAAAAACTAATTGAAAATGCAATAGTTTTAAGGTTTATTGGATTCTTTTCTCACAATTTCATGCTTATAACATATATTTTGCCTGCATTTATTCATATTTTTCCACTTTTATAGTTACTGCTAGTGGTATCATTATAATAGCATATACTCATATTAGAATCACAACCTTACTGCAAGGTTGTTACAGTTAACTAAAACTAGGCCCGAGATGACGTCCTCTATGTCTTGTTTTGTCCACAACCTGAAGATAATTCAGTTTACTGTCACAGAGGACTAAAGAAACTACATATATTCTCATTTTAGAAGCTGAAATCAGAGAATGTAGACAATTTCTCATAAAAAAATGACTCAAAACATTAATCTGTTGCCAAAATAGTTGCTGTTTTTTGCACTTGTTAAAGAAAAATAAGATTTCAAAGACTCATTAGATTCAGAGTCCGACATCAGGGACTTTACATGATGGCAGCTGTGATGCATTCATATGATGTTGTCATTGTTGCTACCAGGAAGACCAACAGCAGCAGGGAGCACAGATAGAGCATTGTTCTTTGTTTAAGACACCGCAGACTGAAGTGTTGTTTCACATGGGATTAATATAACTACTGAGATTTACCCTTCCTCCTCTGATCAAATATACTTCAGTCGTATACAGAGTGAGCAGAGCAGCAGGAAGACAGTGGAGCAGCAGGGTTCAGGTTTCCCTGCAGCCAATCAGGTTGTAAATAGACTCTACGGTATGTTGGCAGCGAGTCGGTGCCTTGCTCGTGGACTCTCCTGCACACACACACGAGGTCCGGTTCATCGAAAATGTTTGGTTGACAGGTTTGGGATTCCCTTCAGCTCAAAGCAGCTGTTATGTAAGTGCAGAGCGAGGCTATGTTTAACTCTGGAGAAACACGTTAACGCCTCAGTGTCCAGTTTCTGACCTACAGACACATAACTGTCCTTAAACGCCACTCATTTGTCTTAAAGATGCAATAAAAAGGATTTAAATTAATTAAAAGGGTCTTTTTTTGTATCTGTGTTCAGGATCCAGAGGTTCGGCGGCTTCGTGACGTGGAACAGCGTCGGTCAGGCTAACGTTAACGGGCGGCTCGCCATGACTCGCAGCATCGGCGACTTCCACCTGAAAACCAGCGGCGTCATCGCTGAGCCGGACACACAGCGAGTCAATGTGAGTCTCACTGCAGCTTCATCCGACCTTTGACCTTTACTCTAGTTGATTACAGGTTTTACTTTAATTATGTTAAACTAAACTAAAACTAGCTTTGTACCGTTACATAATTTATTGTTGGCTAAAATCAACACAGTTTGTCCAAATTAATTAAATAATTAAAAGGGCTAACAATATCACGTAAACATACATGTTGCACCTTTAAATAAAGGTTGAGTTAAATAAAGGAGATCCTGACCGCTTTGTCTCTGCAGGTCCAGCACGCCAACGACTCCTTCCTGGCTCTGACCACCGACGGCATCAACTTCCTTCTGAGTGACCAGGAGATCTGTGACGCCATCAACCAGTGCCAAGACCCCACAGAGGCTGCTGACGTCATCGCACAGCAGGTACCCGGCGCTCTCTCTTTCGCTCTTACCGTCACCCTCTCTCGGAGTTAACGGCAAATATCGTGTGTGTTGTTTTTTTTTAAAGGCGATGCAGTACGGCTCGGAAGACAACGCCACCATCATCGTCGTCCCTTTCGGAGCCTGGGGGAAACATCAGAGCTCCAACGCCGTCTACAGCATGAGCAGGAACTTCACCTCAAGCGGGAGATGGGCGTAGACACACACACCCACCACACAAAAACATCACAGAGCTCTATAACAGTCGACAAAATGAGTGTGACTTGAAGGAAACAAATTTTTTTTATCTGTGAACCACCCTGAATTCACCTGACCGTCAGGTTGTGACCCACAGTAGTGCCGGCTTTAGCTTTCCCAGCTGATAGTCAACAGTGTACATAGAGTGTATATTAATATATTGTACATACAGAGAGATTTGCTGCAAGTGTCTAGTTTGTTAATCTGTGTGCTTCTTTTGCGTTTAGACAAAACATTTAACATCCCTTTTTGTGTTTTTCTCAAACTTCCAAATTGTCGACTCATCAGGAAGTAAGAAGTGCGGTTTTGTCTCAGTTTGAGCTCAGTGTGGCCTGGAGGTTTTCCAGAGGACTTAAAAGGAGTTCACACTGCGGGCACGAGTCGCACAAATCTGATTTTATTTTTGTGACTCAGATCTTTTTTTTAATGACAGTGTGAACAGAACAAATCACACTGAATCTGATCTTTTTCATTCTGATTCAGGACACTTTGGTATGTGGTTGGGGGGGTTTATACAATAAAAGTTGTGAAATAATTACCAAGAAATACCTATTTTGATACTTTGAGGCATCAAAGTCTGCTAGCTAAGTTTTTGGACCTCAGTAGTTCTAAAACCCGGTGTACAGCAATGCTAGTGAGCTAACGCTAAGAGAACATCAACAGTGTTAGGGGTTAGGGTTGTGAAATCTGATTTTGGCCACATTTATATGGTGGCTTTGGCTCAAGAGGTAGAGCGGGTCGTTTTTTGATCCGAAGGTTGCCGGTTGGATACCTGGCTCCTTCCACTGCATGCCGAAGTGTCCTTGAGCAAGATACTGAACACCAATTTGTTCCCTATTCATCGGTGTATGAATGGTTGAATGTGACATGTAGTGTCAAAGCACTTTGAGTGGTTGGAAGACTAGAAAAGGAGCTTTACAAGTACAGTCCATTTAAAAAATAATGTAAACAAACAAAATCTGATCTGAGCAATAAATCAGAGTGGAGCGGTAAGGCTCGCAATGTGAACGCTGCCATAGAGAACGAACAAATGATGTTTAATTATGTTTACTTTGTTACCTGCCAGGTTTGCTAAATCATAACACATAAGAAAGTGATATAAAGATTACATTGAATTTTCCACTGGTATTCACCAATTTATTGTTTGAGAGGAGGAAAGTCTGAAGTAACCGAGGGAAACATCATCAATAACAAACATCACATAAAGAAATAAAGGCGAAGTAAAACCTGATTATAACTGCACCTTCTTTATTGATTCTGTCTGTTTTCTGGTGTTTTATTCCTGGATATACTTTGTTTTTCCCATCCTTATCTGTATCTGTTCACCCAACTAAATTAAATATTCTGTATTTGTATCTGAAGTTGTTCATTTAAAATGAATGAAATTATTATGGGTTGATTGTAAGTTGCTATAGTGAGGGCCCGAGCAGTAACACTGTGAGGACCCCATTGAAACTGAAGGAATTATTATTTCCTGCAATGTTTTTCCTGGTGTTCTATTTTAAGAAACTCCTCCGAGAAAATTTATCAGATCAACTTCAAAATTGGTCAGTACACTCTGAAGTCGATTTGCAGCTTTCACTGTTGTTATTATTATTGTTCAAATTCTCTTATAAATTATTTGTCAACGTTAAGTTCAGAGTGCATCTCCCTCCTTTGTAGCAAGCTAACAGCAGGACTCTGTTACAACTCAGGAAACTCAGGAAAGGATTGTATTCAAACTAATGTCAGAAAACCTAATAATGCAAAAGTATCCAGTGACAAGACTGAATTATCTGACACAGAACCAAGAAAACAAAGACTAAATACACAAAATAAACAAAGACAGGAAGTAAATCGAAACAAATTTGAACAAACCTCACTGATTACTGTACAAAAACACCACTTTATCAATGATTTTGGTGAAACTGGATGATATTTTATGGAGAGAATATTGTCTGGTTTCCCCTCCGACTGCTCTGCTCCAACTCCACTAACTGCTAATGTAGCTGCGGTTAGCGTTAGCAACCAAACGGGGGCTCAGCAGCCTCCCAGTGAACACAACCTCCGAGATAGACAGAGGGCAGTTTGATGGCAGCGGTACCATCATTTCATCAGAAGTTGTCATAACTCAAAAGTTGAGTTAAATTTGTGAAAAAGTGTATATGTGATGTGTTTTTGAATAAAAGTAAATATTTACAATAGTTCTTGTGGTTGTTAATTTAATGATTAATCAGAATTTCAAATAGTGTATTTTTTTTTTTTTTTTATTGTTTTAGCCAAGTTTGTTTATTTTTAAATATTTTTATTGTCGGAATGTTGTGTTTTTTTTCATTCCTTTAATCTTTTGCTGTGATGTCATCGGTATGTAATGATGTCATCCAAAGATCAAAGCCAATAGAATGTTTCTTTGATACAAAGGCGAACATTCCGTCTGAAAATACATAAATAGGATCTAAATCCAACATCAGTTCAGACTCACTTCGAACACAAAGACAAACACTGGAAGCACAGATTCTTCAGGACTTTGGATCCAAGGATATTAACGAATACAAGATGGATCAAGACACAATGGAGAGTCTTCGTGCACACGTCACACAGTGCCTGGAGAAGCTGACAACCCTACAATGGTCACTTGTGAAATCCGGTTCACTCGATAAGAAAACCGAAGAGATTATTACTAACATGTGTGTGGATATTGTTAATACGACATTCATCCACATATATGGGGTGTTTAGACCACCGAAGAGGATAGCTACTCCCAAATCCTCCAGAAGCTCTTCTGGATCAGCCAGATCACAGAAGAGCAGGGTTTCCGAAGACGACATTCGCAGTTGTGTGGGGGACACCATCTCTCTGGCCTTATCGGAGGCCACCGGTGTCACAGACATCACTTCCCAAAGTGCAGAGAAGATGACAGATGTCGTGATTACAGAGGTCACAGAGAGAGTTAATAAACTCTCCAAAAGCTCTGAAAGTAGTGGAGGCGATGAGTGGCCCGAACCTCTCATCTCACAGTCCTACACCCAGAGACTACAGACAATGGTCCAACATGTGGCCAAAATATTGAAAAACTGCGGCAATAAGAAAAGTGCGGAAGACAACCTAACACTGGAAAACTTGCCAGTGGAGGACATTACACTGATTAGAACCAGCGACTCATGGAAGACCCCCATTGTTCCTTTTCTGGATGAGACAGAAACAGTGTCTCAGACGAGCTTAGTGGGCAAAACCACAGAAGTCGTAAGAACCATACTACAAGAAAGGGCCAAGACAGTCAATCCAGTTAATTACAGTGTCCAAATTTTAGAGAAAGAAGGGAAAATGTTTGAGTATGGATTCTCCCAGGATACGGATGAGATGGCTTCTGCGATTGCCATTGAAATAGTTGAGTTAGGGCTGAAAATAGACTCAGAAGGTTCACTGTCGGAATCGCTGGCCGTATCTGAAAAGTTGTCCCACTGTAAAACAGTGGCAGCAAAACTAAAGGCCTATTTTGCTCAGCGTTTTGCCATGGGGTCACTACTTGGCCTAATGGCAAAACTGAGGCGTGAATATGAATGCGTCTCAAAAGAACAGTCTTCTCTGAGCGAGCTGATGGAGGAGGCTGATGTGGTAATTAGAAGCATCATCTCATTAAATGAAGAGGATGTAAAGATGGCCACAGAAGACGAGACCCCTGACGAGATAATCAGTTCAATTGGAAGCGGTCAAGACAACCCAGCTGTCATAGAGCTGGGCAATATACTTTCAGAGCACCTAAAGCCAGAGGCTCCCACGGTGGACTTCCGCTTTAAAATACAGGAAGAAGTTGACACCTTTACAAGGCAGATTAGGAACTGGCTCAACCGGCAGCTGAAGCTCCACAAAGAGAAGGGGGACTACGCAAGTCTTGCCGTGACGAAGATCAGGGAAGTGATCTGTCAGAAATCACTCACTGAGACCCCCTCAGTCATAGGAAGTGGCTGTGTGACACCTGTAGGAAGCTGCTGCATGATACCTGTGGAGGTTGAAGTAGAATCACCTTCAACCCTCATTCAGTCCACTGAGTCATCGGTCAGGGCTGAAGCTGCAGTTGAGACCGCAGCACCACCAACCAATCAGTGGGACGATACAAGCTGCAGGCTTATGGTCATTGCACTGGTTCGTAAAATCATGAAAAGTCCGATACCTCCGGACATTCATGTTACTTTCAGTGACATTGAGGCCTTCAACAAGTTACTCGTGGAGATGCTCTGGGAACAGATCGGAGGCTCTGAGGTTGCTGTCAAGCAAAGCAGACATCACATGAACAAGGTCGCCAAGGCGGTGCACAAGGAGTTGTGCAAGCTGACAGGCGATGCAGGTATATTGAATATGTGCCTGCTGTCCCAGGATGCATCTGTTTACAGATGTATTACTGAGACACTAACGAAGCATCTGGTGACGCCACAGAAGAAGACCGGCGTGAACAGATTCTTTTCACGTCTCTTCAAGACCGTGGCCAAGCCATTCGCTGCTTGCTTTGGACGCAAAGAGTAATCTTTGGTGGTTTTTGGCCAGACACGCGTACTAACTGGGATGACACAGGGTTTACTCCGAGGGGCTTCGGTTTGCCCACATTTGAACCATAATGAAAAAAAAGTATCTCAGTTAAGAGAAGAATCGTCTGGTGGATCGCGACATGGGACATCAGGTATCATAGGGGCCGGACACGCGTACTAACTGGGATGACACAGGGTTTACGCCGAGGGGCTTCGGTTCGCCCACATTTTAACCATAATGAAAAAAAAGATCTTAGTTAAGAGAAGAATCGTCTGGTGGATCGCAACACTGGACATAAGGTGCTATAGGGCCACACAGGTGCCATAGGGCCACACAGGTGCCTCAGTGTAACACTGTGGCCTTGCAGCTATAAGGTGAAGGTTCACTTCCAGCCTATGAACCCCTTTTGCTGTGAGGAGTACAGAGTGCTCACCGTGTTGGCGTGGGTTTTCCCCGAGATGCTTCGGTTTCCTCCCACATTTTAAAAAACAAATGAATGAATGAATAAATAAATAAATAATCTAAAATAAAAACAAACAACATAACATAGAAACAAACAATCTGTCTGATAAAGAGTCTCACTATGAACTACTGGAAACAGTAAATGTTTTATACTTTCATGTACTACTCCGAGCAGGTTTATCAGATCCAGCTGAACTTCAGAAGACCTTTCAGACATTGCTGATGATGTGTAATAAAAGTTGTGGCGTGTTTGTGGCGTTGAATTTAGATGTACCACCAGGACACAGGAAGTTCCTTGTACTTTGTCTTATCTTCACCAAACTTCACACATCTGATGAGAGTCCCACTCTGAACACATCTACATACCAATATTCAGTCATACTTATAGCGCCACCCTCTGGTAACAGGAAGTAAGACTTATATGGCAGCTAGGTGATGAATGCGTGATACTCTGGAGCACAACGAGGCACATTGCTGCTTGCAGCTTTGATTATATTTATATTTGAATAAACATATTTACAGAATTTAGCTTCAGAGGAAGGTTCTTTGATCACAAGAGTTTGATTAACATATGTTTTCTTTACATAAGTTGCTTTACCGGTATTTACAAGTACAGATATTGGCATATATCATAAAAAGTTCATTATCAGAGCATTACTGTAAGAGAACATGTATTCTCTACTTTATTTCTTCCATGTTAAATGTTTTACTGTTTAAACTTCAGAATCAGAATCTTTATGCTTTTTTTTCCTCCTCATCCTTTAGTTAGATTTTTTTAATTGAAAACAGGCCTAAAGGAAGTTGTTGTGACTCCTTGAAGTGAAGCAATAACTACTTTTAACTCTTCGTCAAAAATAGACGTGAGATATAAGTGTGACTAAAGGATGAGGTAATAAATATATCAGATTAAAAATGTAGAAAAAAATCTGATTTTAAAGGGAAGAAAAGCAAAAAAATGCCAAAAATCTAAAAATAAACGTAATTCTGTGCAAGAAATTCAATTATATATTTATTTAAATTACATTTACATTTTAAAACATCCTTTTATGTCACCAACACAAGACGTTAAGTGAATTATTTTACCCTCCGTGTGTCTGTGACATGAAAGGACGTTTTAAAAGGAAAGAGCCACCATATTGGAGGAGAGAGAATAACTGTTGTTTTCTTTAACTACACTTGAGCTCACAGAGTTCACCCTGTGGAAAGTTACTGCTGTTTGATTGACAGCTGATTTTCCTCTCAGACGTCCAATAGCATAAGAGGAAC